TAAATAAATAAATAAACTCTAACATGTCTTCATACTGTCTTATCCTGAAATTCTTTTTCTGCAATGTAAATCAAGATCTCAGCTTCAACTAAGTAAAATCTCTTTAAGAACTCAGTCTGTACAGTCAGCAGCAAGGGACTGTCTCTTCCACGGCTGCAGACCGAGACACAGAGGATCAAAGGCATACCGTTCCAGAACATGGGATGGGCGCTGCGCTATGCTAGTGACACTAGCTCCAAAAGCTGAGCGTAGCTACATCAGCCAAAGAGTTCTGTCTTCAGACCAATTCTCAGGACTCCTGTCAATATCCCCCATCCATTCAGAGAAAACCTCAGGCATGCTACAGAGCGACTAAAGAAACTCACTCACTGTCTAATCAGCATTCTGATTCCTTTTTTTTTTTTTTCTTCGAGACAGGGTTTCTCTGTGTAGCTTTGGTGCCTGTCCTGGAAGTTGTCTGTAGACCAGGCTGGCCTTGAACTCACAGAGATCCCCCTGCCTCTGCCTCCCGGGTGCTGGGATTAAAGGCGTGTGCCACCACTGCCCAGCTGCATTCTGATTCCTTAATTCACCAGTTCACCAATAGATATTTACTCAATACTGTGTTAGGCCCAGGGTAAAGCACTGAAAAAAGCATTAAGACAATTACTTTCACTAAACTGACAGTGTAGGAAGAAGGGGCAGAGAAGTGGGGCACACACAAGCAAACAACCATAAAACAAAACAGCAAATACAATGACTCAGATTTGCAGAGTAATGGAGACTTCCTGGGGCTGCACCTGCAGCAGCAGGACACCTGGAAAGGCCTGTCCCAAGGAAGTGGTCTACTATGTGGACAGAAGGCAGATGTAGAAGGATAAAATTCATTTACAAACTAGTATCAATGAGTATTTGAATTTACTTAATGCCGATATTACCTTCTGTTCCATTCCTTCCCCTTCCTCCCTCAAGGTCTGCAACTCTCTATGTAGCTCTGTGGAACTTGCTATGCAGATCCAACTGCCTCTGGCCATTATTTTTGACAAGTACAGAAATTATCAAATAAAGGCCTCCCAAGATTGAGCTTTGGCTTCTTGGCACAATTTGTATTTGAAAGTAATTTAAACTAAGTTAACTTCACACTACTCTCACTTTAGTAGAGTGCAACTATCTTGTGAGGTTTTAGAAGAAATTTGTTGTCTCAAGTAGTGATAAAACCATGCATTTCTTTCTTATCTTTTTGTTTTTGGAAACAGGATCTCACTATGTAGACTTGGCTGGCCTGGAGCTCACTATGTAGACCAGGCTAGCATCCAACTCACAGAGATCCTACTACTTTTGCCTCTGGAGCACTGGAATTAAAAGTATGCACCCTCTCACCCACAGACCACACATTTTTTTCCCATTGCTTTTAGGTTTCCCACTTAAGAGTAAGGTAAAAAGTAAACAAGAAGAGCAAAATGAGGAAACAGTATTAGATAAATTGATAGATGACAAGTTTTTTAGCTTCCTTTTTTTTTTTTTTTTTTTTTTTTTTTTTTTTTTTTTGGTTTTTCGAGACAGGGTTTCTCTGTGTAGCTTTGCGCCTTTCCTGGGACTCACTTGGTAGCCCGGGCTGGCCTCGAACTCACAGAGATCTGCCTGCCTCTGCCTCCCGAGTGCTGGGATTAAAGGCGTGCGCCACCACCGCCCGGCTTAGCTTCCTTTTTTATATCTCTTGCTGGAGATTTAAATCATAATTGGTTCTTGACGGTTAAAGGCACAGGAAAAAATACTACAGTTGGAAACACTTCATTTCAAGAAGGATACAGGCACTTCTGGCCCAGTCTCACCTATATACAGGCCTTGGTGCTACTCCAGGGTCCAATTAAACCCACTGAATTTAATTCATCCAGTTGAGTGTCAGTCTCCAACCCTAAGATTTGGCACAAGAAAAAGTGTTACGACAAAGCTCTTCAAATCTGCGGTTGCCTCTCAAAACATTTGCATCCTATAGGATTGGGAATAGGGCATGTCTTTTGGGCCTTCCCATTATGGAGGTGTAGGTTTTTCACAGTGCACCCACTCTAGCATTCCAGTTTCCCTGAGCTTAAAATCCCTTCATCAACACTAAGCAAAAAGGGCTCAGGCATCTCCAGTTCCTTTTCAGTAGGCCATCATTAGATAAATGCTTCAGCCACCCAGCCAGCCAGCCAACCAAACTTCAGACACTTTTTAAAAAAACTCTATGAGCTCCATATTAAACCTGGAATCTCCAGTAGTCGTATACTGATAGACTCCTGCGTGACCCAGTTTCTTTTCACCATTATCCTATACTCTCAAAGTCCATTCCCACACACATTCCGTAGACTTCTTGAATGAATTAGCAAAGTCACTACGCTCTTCAGTGGTGTCGTGCACCTCCTCAAGGACACACTTTCTACCTTCCCTCGGGGAGTCTACTTAGCCAAAATTCTGATTACAGGTCTAGGGGTGAACTGGTGGGCCTGCAAGTTGGCCCAAAACTTGGGGTGTAGCTCCTCCCTGGGCCCCACCAACCCCAAGGCTCTCTCAGTAGCCTGAACCCAGCTCGCACCTGGAGGCCTCGCCTACGCCTCAGACGGGCACAGGCCTGGGTCCCCGGCTGGAGCCCGGGTCACCCTGAGCCCGCAGAACCCACGCTCATTGGCTACGACGGACCGGCCTTCCTCCTTGCACGCCTGTGCACGGCTGGCCGGCCAGCGGCTCTCAGCCAGGAGTTCGGCTGTCGCTGGCCTCCCTCCCTCCCCGCTTCAAAGCAGCATTAGTCCGTGTCCTTACCCCGCTACGTGCGGGGTTCCGAAGGGAGCTTCGGGAGGCACAGCCTGCGATCCTGCGCCAACTATGTCTGAGGGCGAAAGATGATTGGCGGGTAGGTGGGGATGAAAGAGCAAAGGTAGAGGAGGAGCCGGGGGCAGGGGGCGGGGCGAATGCGCGCATGCGCAGCGCCCTGGTTGGGGGGAGGGAGGGGTTGCGCAGAGCGCTCTGCTGACGCACGTCCTGGCTGAGCAGCCGTTGGCAGTACTGGTCTGAGCCTCAGATGCAGCTGAGTTTGAAGCATCCTGTTCCTGTCTGGCTTACATTTCCTACTTGACTTTGCCTCAAGCATTTATCTGGATTTACTCATTATCATTTGAGACAGTGTCTCCCACTCTATCCCACGCTGGCCTTGAACTTGCAGCGATTCTCCTGCCTCAGCCACCACACCTCGCTACTAGGCTATTTTTAAATGTAAATAGTTCTCAGTCAGCATGGACTTTCTTTTTTATGTCACACTTGTAACTTTGATCTCCAGAACTGCAAGATAGAACAGTAACTGCTCTTTTCGCAAATGCTACCTCTTAGCTCCGTTGACAGGCAAAAAGCCTGCGTTTTTCCAGCAAGCCCAGTCCTGTCTCTTCTCTTGGGTGAATCTTTGCTCTCCCGCATTGCTGCAGCCCCAGTCTCTAGGTTGTCCATAGGAGCGTGGTTTGTAATTGCCCACGCGAATTCCCTCGTTGCACTCACCTCGTGACTGCGGCAGTGTGCCAGACACTTCACTCAAGCTTGAGAGTGCTAGGACTTAATTTTCCTACTCTTAAGGGTGCTGACTTTACCTATTTTGAGAACTCCTTTAAATACTTTGTCCCCCCAGCTCACCACTTGTCCTTTTATTACCCTATTCAGGTTTTTTTTTTTCTTAAAGACTTGAATTTGTGGCTTACAGTATTAAGAATGAGGATTTCACCAAAGAGAATAGGCTACAGATACTGAAGATGACTTCCTAGTGCTTTGGGAAAATGCTTGTTAGATATTTAACTTTTGGCGTATTAATATTTTCTTTAGCAAAACTAACTTAACACACATCAGTTACACATTGTCAAAAATCCTACAATGCTGTGCAGGTTAGGTCACTCAGCAGATAAAGGTGTCTGCTGTCAGATCCACAAGCTTGACTACCTCGGTTTGATCACCAGATAAAGGTGGAAGGAAAGAACAGATTCCAAAAAGCTGTCTTGCAACTTCCACATGGATGTGGCAGGTGTGCACCCTCCCCTATCATACACACAATAATAATCAGAGACACTAGAAGGAAATTGTTGAGGGTAATTTTAACCGTTGGTATAATGCTCTGAATTTTAGTGTTTTAAATTTGTGTTGGTTAGTTTTATGTCAACTTGACACATACTAGAATCATAAGAGAGAAGAGAACCTCAATTGAGAAAATGCCTCCATAAGAGCTAGCTTTAAGGCATTTTTTTAATTAGTGATTGATGGGGGAAGGCCCAGTCCATTGTGGGTGTGGCCAACCCTGGGCAGGTGGTCCTGGGTTCTGCAAGAAAGGCTGAGCAAGCCGTGGGGAGCAAGCCAGTAAGCAGCACCCCTCCATGGCCTCTGTATCAGCTGCTGCCTCCAGGTTCCTGCCCTGTTTGAGTTCCTACCTTGACACTTCCGTCAATGACGGACTATGATCTGGAAGTGTAAGCCAAATAAACCTTTTATCCCCAAGTTGCCTTTGGTCATGGCGTTTCATTCCAGCAGTAGTAACCCTGACTATGGCAAAGTCATTTATAGTGTTTGATGATTCTTTTTTTTTTTTTTTTTTTTTTGGTTTTTCGAGACAGGGTTTCTCTGTGTAGCTTTGCGCCTTTCCTGGAACTCACTTGGTAGTCCAGGCTGGCCTCGAACTCACAGAGATCCACCTGGCTCTGCCTCCCGAGTGCTGAGATTAAAGGCGTGCGCCACCACCGCCCGGCTTGTGTTTGATGATTCTTAATCACCACACTGAGTACCCTGTGGGTACATACACAGCATGCAGTGTATGGGCTTTTCACTCTTTGAATTACATTATTAAAAAGAATTACCATACTTAGGTCCTTCTAAATTTAAGTAAAAAAAATTTTTAAAAATCACTTTTTATTGTTAATAAAACCATTGCAAGCAAATGAAACTTTTTTATTGCTTGAAAGCTATTTGATAACTTCTAGAGTCAATAAGATACAAATGCTGAATACAATGAGAGCTATTTTTATTGTCTTTTATTTTCAACAATGATTACTTAAACTTAAAAAAAAAACCCAACAACAACACGTTTATTAACTAATGGTTAGTGAAAAGCCAGACCTTTCCAGCCCACTTCATATTCTCTTTCAGCCATTTCAGGGCAGAACAGTGCTCCAAACTGTACACCTGCTCCTTGTTAATGTTGACAGTCATGTGCTTAATGAAAAGCTTGGGGTCTGATATACGAGCAGCCATGATCAATCTTTCTACTGCAGCCTGATAGTCATCCTTGCTTCGAGATCTGTTTTCTTCACATCTGGGTAAAATGAACACAAAAGCAGAAATTCTCAAAAGAAACGGTGTGGTTTCTGTAGGCAAGTCATTTGTGTTTATTGGCTCCAAACTACCATTGCATCTTTTAGTAGTGACTCTTAAGCTTTTTGGACCATGACTTGCAGTATAAGAGGCATTTTATATTAGGACCCAGTAGCAATGGGTGTTTGAGAAACACTGATCTACAGCACAGCTAGTTACCTATATATTTGCATTTACAAAGTTAATAACTATAAATAATAAGCTGTATAAGTTAGTATTAAGTGCAATACATCTTAAATAATTAATAACCACATTAGTTTTCACTTGGTGCTAGTTATTTCTAGCTTCAAGCAAGTACTTAATGTGCAGCTAACATTTAGTAACAAACTGAAGAGCTGTTTGGTTTTCTTTGGTCCTGACTTGGGTACTTCATTAAGTATTATAATTTTTTTCAAGCTCTATCTTCCATCAACTGTGATTATGTTTACTGACATAAAATTCTTTATGGTAGCTTTTCTTCTGGAGAAAGGAAATCATTAAAAGTATTTAAAATATGAGACATCATGTTTTTCTTGCTTCTTGTTTCTTGCTCTTGGAACCTTGGAAGTCAGTGAGCATTGAGTTCTGAGAACGGTTCTACCTAAATTAACACCAGTGTGGGCCACTGGATGACCTAAATAAGGCTTGCACTTCAAAAGAGGAAGGGGTATCCAAGTGCCTTCTGGGACCTCCTAAATTAAATGAGGCACTTTAAAGTCTGATAGAATGAAAAACTGAATAGGTGGCATATTCTCAATGTTTAAAAATGAACAAAATTTCATACAGGTTAGCACCCTAAGGCAGGGCTCAGGACACCAGCAAGAAAAAAACATATTGATCTTCATAAGACCAAAGACCTAGGTATGTCACTGGTCATGGACTAGGACAACAACTACCCTCACATTCGACAATGAATACAGAGGCTGTATGTGTGGGAAATGGGATTCAAGAAGAAAATCAAATTCTTTTAAGATAAAACCTAGACACCTCATGCTACACAGTGTACAGTGTCAAATGAAGGAAACCCAACCCCTACTAAAAACAGAGCTGTAAGAACAAAGGCTAGTTTCAATGGGTTTTTTAGAAAGTGCAAGTAAAATGATTTCCTCTTGTTAAACAAGGGCTGTACAGCCGGGCGGTGGTGGCGCACGCCTTTGATCCCAACACTTGGGAGGCAGAGGCAGGCAGATCTCTGTGAGTTCAAGGCCAGCCTGGTCTACATTGAAACCGTGTCTCAAAGAAACAAACAAATAAAATGGAGGCTATACCAAATGACTCCTGTAACAAACTGAGAAAGCAGATTCAGCAGTTCTGAGTATGAGATGTTAGGGAACAACTGAACATGAGTCAACTGGATTTAGGGAAGTTTTGTTAGAGATGCTGACTATTTCTTGTTCTGAATTTCAAGCATCTTTAAATAGTGAAGAACCTTGAAAGACAAAGACAGTTTCTCCTTCTGGAGCAAAAGACAGCTTGCTGACAGCTTTAGGCAGTGTCTTCCTAGAGAGAAAATGGAAAGCAGGCTTTGCATTTCCCTGCAGGAAAGCAGGGTTCTTTAGGCTTGGGCTTGCCTTCCTGTCAGGGAACCTGGCACATGTTCAGGAGTCCATGTGGGCTATCAGTAGGACTTTAGGGTGAGAGTGAATCATGCTGATAAGCAGACCATCTGTCTGTTTGCTGTACTACAGCAAGAAAACATCATTTTAACACAGGAGTCTTGTGTCCTATGCTAGCACGCATGGACCTGTGGCAGGCCAACTTGTAAATGGGTAAAATCTCAGACCTTCATAATCCTTGCCTGATAGTCACAAAAGGTACTTGGCTTTCTCCTAGCCTTCTCTCTCTTGTATCACTCACTCTAGGGGAAGCTGGCTCTCAAAAAGTCTTTTTATTTTTAAAATATGTGGGGTTTTTTGGTTTTACGAGACAGGGTTTCTCTGTGTAGCTTTTTTGCGCTTTTCCTGGATCTCGCTCTGTAGACCTGGCTGGCCTTGAACTCACAGAGATCCACCTGCCTCTGCCTCCCGAGTGCTGGGATTAAAGGCGTGTGCCACCACCGCCCGGCTAAAATATGTGTTTTATATTAAACTTTACATTTAAAAATTATTGAGATTCTACAGCTGAAAAACTGAAGAATTTCTCAGAGATAAGGTGTATAAGTGTCCACACTGACATGGTATTTATGTCAGATTGTGTCATTCTGGATCTGTAAGGGATAAAGAAAAGATTCATAGCTAAAATTTTTAGATAAAGACTTTTTAACACAAGAAAGGTTGGTACTTAAAGAAGATCTATATCATATGGCATGTATTAACATCTGCTTACTGAGTGTTAACTTCTTTGGCCTTTATTTTGGTCAAGAATCAAACTCAAGGTTCTCATGCATCTATACACTTTACCATTGAAGTTCATCTCTAGCCCCTTAACTTGTTTGGTTTTAAGCTTCAAGTAGGTCTTGTTCTTTCTTAGTCTAAATGTTAGCCAAATTTATTTTATATATATATATATATATATATATATATATATATATATATATATATATATATATATATATATGAGAGAGAGAGTATAAACATAACATGCACGTACTGAATTAAAGAGTAGGTTTGGGGCCACATCTATGTTCAGAATGCAGCTGGAGTTCTATTAACTCACCTTTTCAAAACGATCAGAGAGAGAGAGTATAAATAAACATAACATGCATGTACTGAATTAAAGAGTAGGTGTGGGGGCCACATCTATGTTCAGAATGCAGCTGGAGTTCTATTAACTCACCTTTTCAAAACGATCTGTAGCACTTGTGTGGAAGTTCCCGGGCTCTGAATACTACCAGCATTAGACACCAGAAATATTTCGATAGCTAAAAGCATTTCAATCTCGGATAAGTAGGAGGGAACCAGTAGAAGTTTCTGGTATAAGTTTTCCTCTAATGGTGGGTAGCAACCCAGGGAAAGAGCACCTGAAAATTAAACAACAGGTCACACGTCCCCAAACCTCAATAGGTAAGACATAAGACTTCTAAGTATCCACAGCTTGGCAGCTACTTACAGGTCAGGGTAACTTTTTACATTTGCAGATTTATTACACCTTTTATGATAGCAAACATATTGGTACATTAGATACTACTCTTTATGAGAACTCTGAAAAATAACCTTTGAGTTTTACTGTGACAAATACCCATTTTTTTCAAGTCATAGTAATATATATGACATAATTTCAAAATAATTAATAAGTAGCCAGGTGTGGCGGTACACCTGTAATCTCAGCACTTCGGAGGCTGAAGCGGAAGGACTGTGAGTTGGAGGCAATGCTATATATAGTGAGATTCTCTCAAACAAAAGAAAAACAAGAAAAAATTCCTAACCAAACAGCTACTTAGGTTTTAATGGGATTTGGTCTACAAACAACTTTATACTTTTATGGTCACTGTCTACCTTGAATACAAAACACAGCCTATAATGTGGGAGTGCCACTTGCTGTTAATACTTATGGTGGCAGTCTGAGTTTACTTCAAGGTGCCATCACACCATGTAGCTATTACTGTTCCTACTCTGCCTGGCAAGCGCAGAGCACAAGATACGAAGTGCAGCTCCATCCTGTATATGGCCGCCACATTCCCAACTCCACATTTCAAGAGAACAGATTTGACTTAACTTTAAACTGCTTGGCTGCTTATTAGAAATGATAGTTAACACTCTGAGGATACCCAATTGGACATGGACAATATTATATACTGTGGTGATATTTTATTTGTGCTGAAATTTATTTGTATGTTAATAAATAAAGTTTGCCTGGAGATCAGAGGTCATCGCCAGCCATAAGCAGAAGTCAGGTGGTGGTAGCATGTGCCCTTAATCTGATCACATGGCAGACAGAATCTCTGTGTGGTCAAAAACACAGCCAAGCGTGGTGACACACACCTTTAATTCAAGTACCAACCATAGAGACCTGGAGGTCTGTATAGACAGGCAGTGATGAGGAAGTCATGTGGCTGGGCTTAGAGCCAGTGAGAAGGCAGAACAGGAAGGCAATAAAAGCACAGGTTAGACAGGAAGAAGCTCTCTCTGGGGAAGCGACAGACAGCGAGGTGGTAAGCTAAGGCTAGTCGCTATTTCTCTGATCTCTTCGGCTATTACCCCTGTATTTGGCTCTGTGTTTCTTATTTAATAAGACTGTTTAGAAATTCGTCTACAATATACAGTTTATCAAAATCAAATTAAATCTGTACGTTGATTTTGTTTAAAATATTTTTTCCTTCAAGAAAGTAATTCAGTGTAAGTAGGTGATAATGCTAATCTCTGAGAACTATATCTAAACATAATCCAAAGATGTTCTAGTAATATTTAAATATTTAAATTTTATTTAATTATCGTTATGTTTATGTATTTATGCACATGCATAAAACATGAGACACCGTTTAAAAAAATCAAAACCTAAACCCCCCAAAACAAAACACTTATGCTTATTACCTATAATGCAACCTAATTATTTTCCCATTTCACTGGGAAAAGAAGTTACCACTTGCTAAGGTGATCATAGCTGGGAGTTTGAAAACATGTCTCGCTCAGGTAGAGCAGTAAGGATATCTGACACTCAAATATTTAAATTTCAATCTACTCAATGTATTTATTCCTGTGTTGTAAGATATGTCAAACTGTTTCCAATTTTCTTTGCTTGCCCTCTATTGGAATTGGTAACGTGCTAAGAGAAAAATATGGTACTTGTAAACAAAGGACAAAAAAACAGATTTTAAAAGTCAGCATAGATCAGACCACTGCCTCTGAATATGTACTATTATTTTTACATATTTAAAAATCTAGTTTTAAATATTACAGATGGATCCTGGATTAGAAGATAATCAAAACCAACATATTAATTGAAACATTACAATGGAACTTACTTTTGTAGTGGGCCCTGGCTTTGAGCCACAAACAACTCCTTCCTAAGGAAGTGATTAGTCTCCTGAGAAAGGAAAAGTCAATAGGGATGCTTTTCGAAATCATGAACTCCGCTACAGAAGATGATATGACAAGACTGTTACTTTCTATACAGGCATCTAGAAGTTTATTAAAAAGAAGGCTATACTGGGAAACCTCCACAGTTTCTGAAATGAAGAAAAAACAAAACAAAGCAATGATTCAATAAAATGAAAAATAATCAATGACATAAAGACCGATATTAATCTTCAGCTTTCTTCCCCCACAACTCCAGCCTTGCTTCCCATTACAGAAATCAGACCCACTGAAGTACAATCATCTTTCATACTCTCCAAGTTAGAAACAGAAAACCCTTTGGCACAAGCAAAACTGTTACTTCCTTTGTAATGGAGAATGTAAAAATAAGCTTGACAAAGACTTTAGAAGTTGCAGTAGCTTCTCCACATTTGTTCCCCATATGAGGTTGAATCTGCAGTCTTGAATAATTTCATGGCTCTTTTTGCACAGTTCAGACCTCGGCCTTTCATGACTCAAATATATTTGCTTCTAATGTTCACTCCAAAAAAAAATGTTTTAATGGGTATCCCATTAATAACTTCTAGGGGAAAGAAGTCACCTTGGAGATTTCCAACTCTGTTATTCTTTTTACTCAACTGGGTCGATGACCTACACTCTAGGTCCACGTCATTGTAGGATCTTTATGTGGTCCAGGCCTTATCAGGAAATGAATCCTTTTCCTTTTAGTATCATTCTGAACACCAAACTTATTATGTCACCCCCTTACTCTGTTCTACACATAAAGAAGGAAACTCCTTTAGTTTGTCATTTATGGATTTCCAGAATCTGGCAGACACTGTCCACCTCTAATGTTGTTTCATCATCAACACAACTGTACATTAAAGGCATACTGCGTGGCAAAGAAAGTATCACTATGAGGAAGGCACTTCCTACCAATGCTAGCTACAAACAGCATTTCTGAATCAATGGAAAATAAGGTTGAGAAGAGACAGTGAGACCTGGGGAAGGTCCTAAATCATCCTCTGCATCCTTTGTATCATCCTCTGAATTCTGCTCATAGACTCCCTCCTCTTATCTTAAAGCTTGAATTTTAACCTTTAAGAGAACACATTTATTCCAAGATTACTAAGATGTATACTTAACAAGTACTCTTCACTATCTAAATAGAATAAATTAGGATGTGACGCATGCTCATGATGTACAGAGGCAAGGATGAGTAACAAGGATATGCTGATAGGAGCTGCTGACAGCAACCCAGAGAAGCATCTTTAAAACCATAGAATCAATTTACACAAAACATCCTTTATAGAAATGACTTCATTAAAAAAATACTGGAATATAAATCCTACCCAGACAGGTGGAGAATTGTTTCTTACTAGCTGCTAAGCACCAGATTGGCAAAAAATGAAGGTTGTGTGTGGTGATATTTTATTTGTGCACCCTAATAAAGCTTATTGGAGATCAGAGGGAAAAGCCAGCCACTATATTAAACATAGAAGTCAGGCAGTGGTAGCACACGCCTTTAATCCTACCATTGGGAGGCAGAGATTCATCCAGATCTCTGTGAGTTCAAGGCCACACTGGGAACAGAGCACACGCCTTTAATCCCAGCACTAGTTAACCATAGAGGTCTGGAGGTCTGTACAGACAGATAGGAAGTGATAGAGCTGGGCACAAACAGGAAGTGATGTAGCTGGGTGGAGAGAGGAAGTGAGATGGCAGGGCACAGGATATAGGCGTGAGTATACAGGAAGTAGCTTTCTCTTTGGCTGAGGATTTCCTAGCAGTAAGAACATGGCTGGCTTCTTTCTGCTTCTCTGATCTTTCAGTTTTCACCCTAATAGCTGGCTCTGGGTTTTTTATTAATAAGACCTTTTAGCAATTCGTCTTACAGTTGTGCTGGAGAGATGGTGTTAGGATTCTGCCACTCCAGCTGCCTGACAACACATGCACAGTTCAGTAGCTAAGCAAGGGGTCTTATGTCTTATGTAATCAGTGCACTGCCTGATTGCGCAAATATGCGCAGCACAGTCACGCAACCAGCACATGCATGGCATAGCTCCATAAGCCCACATGCACATGTGCAGGGAAATCCTTAAAAAGCCAGCCACAGACTCCTCTCTCTTCTGCTCTTTTCTCCTCCCCCACTCTCTCTCCCTGCACACATCTTTCACAGGCCTGGTCACTCTCTTCTGTGTCTCTGCCCAACCCCTCCTCCTCCTCCTAATAAAGCTCTGATACTGGGTTTTGTCGTGCCTCCTGACCTTTCTTGAATGGTAACAGTGCTGCTTATTATTTAAAACCAACAGATGGCTTAGCAGTTAAGAGTACCTGCTGTTCCTATAGAGGACTTGGGTTCAGTTCCTAGCACCCATATCAGGCTGTTTACAAACTGGCTGTGACTTAAGTTCTAGGGAGAGCCAATGTCCTCTTCTAGCCTCTGTAGGCATCAGGCATGTATGTGATACACACATATATATGTAGGCACTCACTCATACATAAAAAATAAAAATAAACAGACTTTAAAAAAATATACCTCGAGAATTCTGAAAGCCTGGTAGATTCCGGAAAACCTCAAATGTTTGTCTGTAAAGATTCTTGCTCAGGAGTTGACGTGCAATGGTACAGAGCAAATTATGTCGATTAAGCACATCCATTGTATCACAAGGCCAAAGTGGTGTATTGATTATCCATTCCGATTCTCCAAGAAAAACACAAACACACCATGAAAATAACACTTTTCAGGATAATCACAATTGGGAAATAAATATCTTGGTTTGAAGGCACTTTTGCCTAGACATATGAAAACAGGGACTATGAAGCCATGGTCATGATTTCCCATAGTGGCTGAAGCTGGACTACCTGGGTTTAATTTGGCATGTTATATTTCAAATGATTAACATACCTAATTACACTTTTTAATCTTCAGACTGTAACTGTAATAGGTTCAGACTCAGGGTTTCTATGACAACTAGGTCTCATCAAGAACAAACTTTTGCCAACCAAGGCTAAGTTAAAGCCACTTTGATGGCCTGGAGAGATGGCTCAGAGGTTAAGAACACTGGTTGTTCTTCCAGAGGTCCTGAGTTCAATTCCCAGCAACCACATGGTGGCTCACAACTATCTGTAATGAGATCTGGCGCCCTCTTCTGACTTGCAGGCATACATGTAGGCAGAACACTATATACATAACAAATAAATAAATCTTAAAAAATTTAATAAATAAAGCCACTTTGTTCTATCAGTTTATACCATAGTGACTTTTCCTATCCACATATTCACTGAAGTTTAGACCAAGCTATCACCTCCAACTCAGATCAACTTAAGGTAATTAAACAGATAGTGTTCACAAGAAGAATAACAGGTTATTATGCATTCATATATCAGAACTTACCCCTCAGTACCCAAAGAGCACCATCTAGGCTCCCGCTTTTGATAAAAATTTCTGCTGCAACATTCACAATTTGACATCTTGGTGCTACTTTCTCAGGTCCTGTAAGTCCTTTTAAACTTGTAAAATGTATTTTTAGCTCATATAGTGTATCTAAGACCTTCCTTCCCTGGAATAAAAATAAAGAACACTAAGTATCATTGATTTATAGTATCAGAGAGACACAAAGTCAGTGCCAATATGCAGAGGACAGTTACCAGTTTGAATTATTATGCTAGACGAGCAGTTGTCAAATTGCAACAAGACTTTGCTTAAGCTTTTCCTGTTTGGTCACAAAGGTAGAAAGGGGAAAGCAAGAATTTGCCTCACATTAACCACCCCTCGCTGACTAACAAGCACCTCTCTGTCAGCACCTCTCCTTTGACTCATTTTATGCATTAAGTGTGGAGCTGGGCATGTGGCTCACACCTATAGGAGCCCAGCACTTAGGAAGGTGAGGCAAGAAGATTGTTGATAGTTTAAGGCTGGATTGGGTTTTATAGCAAGGCCCCGTTTCAACAACAACAACAACAAAACAAGCAAAAAACCAAACCAAACTAAACCAAAAAGATTTCATTGTTTGGGCAAGGGTTCCATGTGTTACTATGGAAAATTATTATGTTTTTACTCCTTTTAAAGTTTACCAATCTGAGATCTAAGAGAATGGGTGGAAATGAAAATAATTTGTCACCAAAATTAGATGAAATGCTACAAAGCCAAAATTGTTAGCTGAAAATTAATTTTTTTATTCAGTAAATGAATTACGTGACAGATTCTACATGAAGATTATCATTGGTTTGGACATAAGAATTGGATATGAGTTATTATTTTAAACTAGGGGCCAGCCTACTTTCCCTGTAAGCAGCTGAACAAGAAATACTTATTTATTTATTTTTTTTTCCAAGACAGGGTTTCTTTGTGTAACAATCCTGGCTGTCCTGGAACTCACTTTGCAAGTCAGGCTGACCTCGAACTCACAGAGATCTGCCTGCCTGCTGGGATTAAAGGCGTGCACCACCATTCCTGCCCAATAAATACTTTATTAAAAAAAAAGGTTCATTTCATTTTAAGCTATCTCTTGGTTACATGTTACATGGATGCAGATGTCTGAGGAAGCCAGGAAAGGGTGTCAGGTCCCCTGTAGCTGGAGTTACAGGAGGTTGTGAGCTGCCTGATTTAGATGCTAGCAACTGAACTTGGGTCTTTTGTATGAGCAGTACCTGTTCTTAACCATTAAACTCTCTCTTCAGTGCCCCAATAATAACTACTTTTTAGTCTTTGAAGGCTGCATTTGGTGGCTGAAATTCTTTTGGTTATTGTTTTTAACTCACAGCTCTTTAAAAATATAAAAGCAAACGAACACACACAGCTGGAGAGATGGCTTGGAGGTTACGAGCACTGGCTGCTCTTACAAAAGACCTGTTCAGCCCCCAGAACCTATATGGTGGCTCATAACCACCTATAACTCCAGTTCCAAGGATCTGGTGCCCTTTTTTAGACTCCATAGCACCAGGCATGCACATGGTACACATACATACACTCAGGCAAAATACTCATACACATTTTAAAAATGCAAGAAATAAAGGGTTAGAGGTATAACTCAATGGTAAGGTGCTTGCCTTCCGTATACAAGCCCCAAGTTTGTTCCCCCGTACTGTGTGTATAAAAGGCAAGGCTGAGAAGATGGCTTAATTGGTAAATGCTTGCTTGCCATGCAGTATAAGGCATGTCTCGATCCTCAGCACCTGTGTGAAAGCTGGGTAGGGTAGCACAAGTTTAGAACCCCAATTGCTGAGGAGGCAGGTATAGGAGGATCCCAGAAGTTGGTCTAACTGAAATGGAGAGCTCCAGCTTCACTGAGAAACCCTGTCTCAAAATATAAGGAGGGACAATAATAAAACAACCCATGCCTCTACATGTGTCAGCATGGGTAAGCATATACATATGTATACACATGTACACCCACACAAAGAAATAAGTAACCTTTTAAACTAAGGAAATGTTAAAAACATTCTGAGCTTGTGGGCTATACAAAACAGGGTGTGGGCACAATGTGGCCCATGGGTCTTAGAACCTTAATATTCTGTATTCTTTTCAATCAGATTTTTATAATGCTGTGAAAATACTTTTAATATGAATAAATAAATGTTTCTTTCAAGGAATAATTTTTAGCTTAATTTCAACAATTTTGCCTTATATTAAAAAGGAATAGGCTTTAATTGGGCATGGTGTGCATGCTTATAAGTCACAGCACTCAGGAGGCTGAGGAAGGGGGATTCTCTGTGAGTTCGAGACCAGCCTGGTCTACAGAGCTAGTCCAGGACAGGCTCCAAAGCTACAGAGAAACCCTGTCTCGAAAAACAAAAAACAAAACAAAACAAAAAAAAATCAACTCACTGAGCGCAACAATTAAATTTTTTGTTAAGATAGAAAAATTCACCAAGGTCTTAATAACCTAAGAAATAATAACCAAATAAATCAGAATACTCTAAACTTTTAGTTAAATCTGCACATTGTCAAAAAGAGACTTTTGCTCTACAGTCCTCCAATGTGCAGGCACTCATGTCCAAGAAATGAACATTATGACTGGCCTTCTACGAGACACTATAGCAGAGAGGGACCATCCTGCCACAGAGTGAGCACTAATCTAGAAATCTACACTATCTGTTCAACCAGTCTGGGTGTAAAAATTTCTTTTAGTCCATGAATGTCGCACATATACAAGTGAACATGTACTCAAATGTTATTGCACCGATATCCAATTCTGAATGACCAGAGTAACTTTAACAGTTAATTTAATAGTGATCATACTTAATTGTTGCATTTTGTTAATTCTACCCTTTGCATTACATTTTCATGCCCTCTATGTGGACTTTATTGGGTCTACAATTCAATTGATCACTCATGGAAATCTAAAGGATGTAAATACAGTGTAGTTTTGAGGGCTGGTGAAGTAGCTCCATGGGTAAAGGCACTGCTGACAGACCTCATGACCTGAGTTCAATCCCAGGGATTACATGATGGAAGAAGAGAACCAATTTTTGTAAACTGTCCTCTGACTACAAATGCATGCCATGGTATACATATATGTACACATGTATGCACATATACAAGTAAATAAGTGAAATAAAACAGAACAGTATGGTTTTGAGTCACCAGACCACCTGCATAATGGACTCAGTTAAAGTTAAACATCAGTGGCACATGATGTCTCAGCGTATTCAAGAGAGTGATTTGTAAAGAGTTTTGATGATCATGAGCATCTTGGGTTCATCTTAAGAAGGGTGTTTTGAGGCTGAGCATGGGGGTACACACCTTTTATCCCAGCCTTCAGGAGGCAGAGGCAGAGTTCAAGATCAGCCTGGTCTACATACCGAATTCCAGGACAGCTAGGACTACACAGAGAGACTATGTCTCAATGAATGAATAAATAAATGAATAAATAAATAAATAGAAAAGGAAGATACTTTGAGCTCTTTCAGGATTATAAAGACAACTATGTAGTTGTCAAAGTAAATTATGAATTGAAAACTTAAAATAAATATATTTTAGCAGAGCCTCCTATGTATTGCCTATAATTAGATTCTGAAAAAGCAGTTGGTGTCCCATCACTCCTGTTCAGCATTTGGAAACAAACGTGAAAACTGAGAACTCACTAAGTAGTCTAAGGTAACATTCTGTGTGCCTCAAGTGACTGTTAGAAAATTTCTGATTTGAAGGATTACTTCATATTCTGCTCCTAATTTTTAAACTAAGATTCTCTGCACTAAATCAAACCAACATACAATGAAATACCTTGGACCACAGCAGCAGTCTGTGATAGAAGTACACAGCACTTATTCCGATCCTCCCCAACAAAGTCTTATCCACCTCACTGAACTGTGGATCTTTGCTAACTGAAACATAAAGCAGACATGGAAAGAAATGAGACAGTAACTTAAGATGACTCAGAATTACTGAAATCACTTCAAAGACCTAGTGTTGGCAAACTATCCCATAAGCTAAATTCAGCCTTAAAGATAACAGTGGGTTTGTGTTGTTGTTGTTTTGTCTTTTGAGACAGGGTCTCTCTACAGCCCTGACTGTCCTGAAACTCACTCTGTAGACCAGGCTGGTGTTGAAGTCAACAGAGATCCTCTTGCCTCTGCTTTCTGGTGCTGAGATTAAAGGTGTGTGCCAACATGCTCAGCCCAATAGTGGATTTATTTTGAAAGAATTGTTTAAAAACTGAAACTATATGGGTTGCATGTACAGTCTATGAGAGTTACCCTCTGACCTTTTACAGAAAAAGTTTGTCACTCCCTGATAGAGGCCACAATAGCAACATCTCAACATCTCAAGCCCCATGTAGTTAGTTGCTCACTTCTGTAATCCTAGCACTTGGGAGGCAGGGGTAGAAAGATTACAAATGTAAGGCCAATTCAGGCTGCATAGTGAGATATTATCTCAAGAGAATGTATTTTTAAAGGCTATACAATAGTTTTTGATTTGTAGATAGTAGAAACATCAGTGTTATAAAAAAAAATTGGGTGCTCCCATATCGCTTGTAATAATTTTATTAACCTACATGAAAAGAAAATACATTAATGTTCTATGAAATCTTTGATACTAAAACCCAGTTCTTGCCCTTATGAATATAAACTAACATTAATAGGTAGATGGAAAAATCTACAGATTTCAGGCTGTCTGAACTTTGCAACACTGGCTAAGCCTCTGTATGAGAAGAGCCTTGTCCTCCATTTAAGAACCATAGAGTTCTCAAAACAAAACAGTAACATTTTACCTGTTTCAGCAAATTCACAAAAAGGAACACCTGGCCTTTCTTCTTTATTATCTTTTGTGAGCGTTTCAGCAACACAAGCACAGAATCTCTGGAAATCTGCAAATTCTTCACAGCCCATTTTTATGCTAATGTACAGGTTTCCCAATTTGGTCCAGTCACCTTGTTCTTTACAAGTCTATTAAAATTGTTAAAAGTGGAAGGAAGGAAAGAAAGAAGGAAGGAAAGAAGTCAGGAAGGAAGGAAGGGAGGGAGAGAGGGGAAGAGGAAGAGGGGAAAAAAAAAGTAAAAATTCTACCATCTCTGCAAGCACATGCTATCAGATAGGCACCTGAAGATATACAGAAATCTGTATAACTAAGTCTGCGAACTGAAAACCTGATAAGCAGCATTCCGTAACACAACACTGAAGTTCCTCTTTTCTTTCTATAGCACAGTCTGTTAATTGCAGACAGCACTGAACATGCTGTAACTATTCAGTTACTCAAATGCTTCGGGACTTGACAGGACAGAACTTCATGAGAACCACCGTCACCAAGGTGCATGAGCATCTCTGTAGCAGTCGCTTCCTTTACTGCTTTTAGAGGGAGCACATTATTACCATCATTTGGTCATTTAAGATTTGGGGCCCACAAAGGAAATTTCAGTAAACTCACTGTCTCCTATTTTCTGCCAAAACTAAGAAAAGCTTTCTGTGGCAGTGCAAAAGTTTTTTCAAGGTTACATCATGCTGACCAAGACTACATCAACAACGAGAGGGCACATGATGATATGAAGAGTAGAGCCATCTTTAAGACCCCCCTTTATGTGTATGTCTATGTGTGGGTATACGCACATGCATGCTGGTGCCTTTGGAGGTCTGAAGAAGGGTCTGTCCCATGGAGCGTAAGTTACAGGTAGTTGTGAGCCCTGACGTGGAGTTCCACTGAACCATTTCTCTAATCCCTCCCTCCTCATTTCAAATGCCAGGAGAGGGCACTGTGCACTGCCTCTTATCAGTTCAGACCCATAGCCACCCACACTGCACTAGAGCCACACATTTCCTAAGCTTTAGATTGATACAAGTTAACTTTGAAATGGAAGTTACCAACAGGATTAATTTAAAATAATTTACAACCCTAGATTTACTTTCTATGTATGTGGGGCGGGGGAGGTTAGTGGCCTTAGAACCCAGGGCTCTACAAACACTAGGCAAATGATCTCCTGCCAAGCTCCATCTTCAGCCTACAGCCCTAGAAATTCAGATGTTTGCTTTTCAAAATATTAATCTTTAAAAATATAACTACTAGATTTCTCTTAGCATTTTCTCTACCAGTGATGTTTCTAAAGCTCTTCCTAATTATTCAAATACTTTGTTACTGGTTTTTAGAGCCCAGCAATGTCTTCGAAGATAAATGTCATACCTCCACTTCACTCAAGGCTGAGTCTAAATCACACTTCCAGTTCTTTTTCAGTTGCCTCACTCGTAACCTTCAATGACAGAAGAGAGTTGATTATGCGTATTTCACCCCTAAGTCACCAGTGTTCCTGTCTGTTCTATAGTTTAAATATACACAAGACCTGAGAAAACCTAATGCATAGAAGACACCCTAAACATTACTTACAGATGAATTCTTTTTAAAACACATTTATTTATTTTGTATGCTTAATCTATGGGTGTATTTTATGTAGGTGTGCCTATGCTACAGCACACATGTGACGGTCAGTCCCTCCTTTGACTGTGCATTCTGGATACTGAACTCAGCTCGTCAAGCCTGGTGACAAGTGCCGAGCCAACCTGCCTGCCCAGCTCCTGATTTTCTGGCTCTAGCCTTCCAAGTATTACAAAATATCTAAGTAATAAAGTCTATAGTATTATAGATATTCACCACCATGTCCAGCTAGAATGAATGAATGGTTTTTCTCTCTATAAATATCATAGCTTAGAATTCAATTAAACCAATAGACGCATTTAAGGAGAATTGATAACTTTTTTAAGTCTCTCAATTAATACAAATAGTATGCTTCTTTATTTAATTTCTTTCAACATGTGATGGCTTCCAGTATACAAGTCGAGCATGTTCTGTAAGCCTTTTACCTAGCATTTAGTTTTCTGAGCTACTGTCAACAGTGCTGCGTGAGATTTTGGTCCTAGGTTCACTGCTGTTGTATAGGAACATGGCTGATCTGTGGGCTGCCTTTACTCTGTAGCTTTGCTGTACTCATTCATTAGAGCTGTTTTGGTAGGTTCTTTGTCACACAGGGTTGGAGCTCATGTCACCTATAAGTACAGGGCATTATTTTACTTCCAAACTGTACACCTTTAATTTTCACTTTTTATTACACTGGCTAGACGGTATGGGCAAATGATCTTGATAGAAGTATGGGCATAGTCTTGCTTTGCTTTCAATCTTGAAGAAAAACCTTCGGTCTTTATTCAAGTATGTCTGTTGGTTTGTTACAGCACTCTTTACAAAGATAAAGAATTGTCCTTCATTTCTAATCTGTTGAGGGTTTTTACATTTAAGATCATGAAAGATACTGGCTTATAGCTCTTAAAAATTAAAAAATTTTATGTGTGTTTATGGTTTGTCTACATGTATGTGCACCATGTGAGTGTCTGGTGCCCTTGGAGGCCAGAAGAGGGAATCAGATCCCCTAGAACTGGAGTTACAGATGGTTGTGAGCCAACACTCGGGTGCTGGGAATCAAACCTGGATCTTTTGGAAGAACAGCCAGTGCTCTTCACTACCGAGGCACTGCTCTGGATCAACAGCTCTTCTTTTCCTGTTTTTTGTAGACAGGGTCTCATGTAACCCAGGTTGACCTCAACCTTGCTATGCAGCCAATGTCAGACTTGAATTTCTGATTGCCCTGCCTTTGTCTTCCAAGTGCCTGGTTACAGGTCTTGAGGCATCACACCTGGTGGCATCTCTTGATTTCTTGTATCCACTTTAGTTTTTAATTTTTACTTTTTGAGACAGGGTCTCACTATGTAGCCTTGGCTGTTCTGGAACTCATTATACAGTTCTGGCCTCAAACTCAGAGATCCATCTGCTTTTGCTTCCTGAGTGATGGGATTAAAGGTATGTGCCACCATGATGGGCCCATTTTGTTTTTTTGTATAAGGGTAATACCTACCTCAAAAATCTTGATAAGCTAAGCATAGTGGCACATCCTACCAATTAGGAGATAGAGGTAGGAGGATTACGAATTCAGGTCTAGCACTGACTACATATGAAATATGGGTGCAAACAAAACAAACCAACCACAAAAAGAAAAAAAAGTCCAATAAATATTATTCTCTCCCTTTCTATTTTCTGTAATTATGTATAAATTCACTCAGTCTCATCTTTTAAAAATGAGTATACTTCTCAAGAAAAAACTATCTGGCCCTTGGGATGCCTTTTTTTTTTTTTTAGAAGATTTTAAATTGTGGACTAGATTTTCCCTATAATTTATACAACTATTTAGATCTAGAAATCATTCCATTTCATCTTCATTGCTGAGTTCATACACATTGGATATTCACAGCAATTTTTTCAGTGGTGGGAGGATCTGCACTGACCCCTTCATTCCTGATATTTACAATTTGTGTCTATGCCTTTTTCTTTTAAACAACTGTGTGTGGGGGGTGAGAGGTGGTGCGCAGAGGTCAACCTCAGGTGTTATTCCTCAGGCCCTGTCCTGCTAGGGAGCAGAGGAAGCCCACAGCCTCAGACCCATGGAGGAATGGCAAAGCCTTTTCCTCAGGGCAAGGTTCAGAGGGAAATGGCAAAACCTTCCCTTCTTGTCCATGTGTGGATGTTGGTAGTGTGTGCAGAAAATGTCTACTATAGCTTTCTCCCCTTGGATGTTTACACCTGAAGACTTCTCCTTACAGCGACTGCTACTACTGAGATTAGTTAAGCCCTGCCTCCTTGATCCAGCTGTATACCATAAACCCTGCCTCCTTGTTAATCTGTGTATAATAACCTACCTTCTTGTTAAGATGTATATAAGAACACTATACAATAAATATGCTGAGTTTCTGGTATGCTGAGGTTTCTCTAGCAAAGAGCCCAGACCACTGATCCAAGATATTTCTGTCTGTCTGTCTTTTCTTCATTCTCTTACCACCCAGTCATGTTCAAATTCCTGAGGCCAAGCAAGGGCACAGCACAATCCACCTTGGTTTTTGACATAAGGTCTCTCACTAAACCCAGAACTCACTAAGTAAGCAAGGCTAGCTAGTGGGATCAGCTGACCCCAGGGATTACCTGTCTTTGTCTCCCCAGCACTGGGATTACAAGTATCTATGACCAGCTTTTATATGGATGCTAGAGATTGAATGCAAGTCCTCACACTCATGTGGCAAGTACTTTACTATCTCTCCAACCCCAACAAAATTTGCTTTCCCTTTTCTCAATATAGATATATTGCAGTAGCAGCTGTTTGCTTTTTACATGGCTAGAGATGGAACCTAGGACCCTGTACATGCCAGGCAAGTGCTCTCCCAAGGAGGGACACCCCAGTCCTATGGCAGTATACTCAGAGAGTAATTAAGTGGTTGGGGCCTCATAAACTGAGTAGACATAGTGAATGAGGGAGAAGGGAGAGCACCAAGCTAACAGGAAGTGAGCCAGGGAGGAAAAAAACAGGTAAAATAATTTGCATGCACATTAAAGTGTATTAAGTACAACTAAGTATGCAGTAAAACATGAGCTAAGAGAAGCTCCTTTGCCCTTCGTGGACACTGAGGTTAAATGAGGAACCAAGTGGAGGTCGACAAAGGTCAGCTGTGGACGGAGGCAGGAGAGGGGCTTGTGACAGGGGACAAACTCACTCCTGAGATAGGAGTATTGGAAAGTGCTCTGCCTTCACCTCTCTGGGTCCCCACCAAGATACAGACCTGATTAGGCTCCCATCTTACCTGGATTTGGCTTCCAGAACTGCAGCTATGTCTTGTTGGGATGCCTGTGTTTGGTACAAAAGCTTGACAATATAGTTCAAATGCTCTGAGTCAGGCACCATCCCAGCATCAATGAACTGTAGGAGAAACAGTAATTGTTCTTGTAAAATGTGAAATAATTGGTAAGTCAATGTGTGAGAAATAACCAAGACAGTGACAGATGGAGTAAAACATGGGGACAGGGGAATCAAAACTTATTAGCAAAGTTCGAAGCATAATTTCTTCAAGTGTTTGAGAACCACAGAAAGATACCTTAAGAATTTAAAACAAACATGGGAACAATATTTTTGAATATAAAAATTGAATTTTCTTCCCATTTTCCAAGACTATTTTGTTGTATAACTCTTATCTGGCACTGTCTGTTCCAGTGTAGCTCTGGTATTGACGTCTCATGCCTGATGGTAAATTCTGAGAAGTCTATCCTGAGCTTCACCCCTAGCCCTTGCCATGGAAGAACTGGTCTTTACTTAATAAATTAACAACGTAGGTAGCTGACTGTCCACACAGTCACATATTTAATTCTGACATGCCTCATTTCCTGTCCTTTTCATGTACCATTCAGCTTGAATGGAGAGTGCTGATGGAATATCTGATGCCTCCAGTATGAGAATGGATGAACGGGAGACAATCATCCAGTTATTATCCCGAGAGGTTGGGAGGGCTTGAGGTTATGGTGGTTTCTGCTAAAGATCCTGTGACTAGGCCATGGAGTGCTCCTCCAGGACTGGGAGACTGATTCAGCTGAAGGTGTATGAACAATACTTCCTAAGAGTCTACTGTGGTTATAGTCTCCTATTGAGAAATTACTTATCACTGAGATGTTTACACTTCATTATTTATTTTGTGTGTGGTGTGTGTGGTACATGTGTAAGAAGTGTGGTTGTGGGAGCACACCTGTCATGGCTGCATGTGGTTAGCAGACAACTTCTGACTATAAAATTTATCTCCTACCTTGTTTGAGACAGGGTATCTTTTGTTATCTGTGTACTCTAGGTGAGCTCCCCCATTGGCTTCTGGGCTGCTCTCCTGTCCCTGCCTCCCGTTTCAGCAGTGAAAGGGTTACAGACTCAATACTGTGTCCCCCTCTTTAAGGTGCATTCTGGCGATCTGAATTCAGATCCTCGTGCTTGCATAGCAAGTCCTTTCTATCTACTGAGCACTGTCTCCTCAGTCTCCTCAAAATGTTTTCAACATTTGAGAGAATGTATGCCTTACCTCCCTCATCTAGATTTGAAGGGAGTAGTGGGAATTAAAAATTGGGGTGGTATCCTGTTATATTTATTTGTTTGTCTGAGAAGAGGGAACTACAACTGAGAAAATACCTCCATTATACTGGTCTACAGGCAATTTCTTAATTAGTGGGGCATTTCTTAATTAGTAATTAATGTGAGCAGGCCCAGCCCATTGTGGATGGTACCACTCCTGGGCAAGTGGTCCTGGGGCTCTATAAGAAATAAAGTTGAGTAAGTCATGAGGAGCAAGCCAGTCAGCAGCTTCTTCCATGGCTTTTGCTCCAGTTCCCGACTCAAGTTTCTGCCCTGATGTCCCTTCATGAAGGCTTCTAGTTGGGTATGTAAGCTGAAACACACACTCTCCTCCCTAGTGTCTATCACAGCAGTAGAAACCCCAACAAACAGGGCAACAAAACAGCAGGGAGAGTGGAGAAGTCACACTTTCATGGGAGGTGCCATTCGGTCTTAAGAACTTAAAGCTGAGGTGAGACAGCCTTTCTCTGAGTAAAGGGAGGAGGAAAAAGTCACCGGGGTCTCCTATCTTTGACTTGGAGAAAACAGCCTTGAATTTGATGGTGGATTCTGAGCAGGTCCTAGAAACTCCTTTCTAAGCCAACTGATTAAACAAACTGGAAACTGTTTTGGTGAAAAACTACAAATAACTACTTCCTGCCTGTTACAAACTCAAGTCCCTGAACTATTTCTGTCAGCTCCTCTGGAGGTGAAGCATGGTCAGTTTTTTTCTTAAAAAGGAAAACAGCTCCTCCCCTCAACCCTGAACTTCATGACAGAAGACAGAAGCATCATGAGGGTTTCCTGTTCTCTGTAACATCTCAAACATTGCCTGCTGGTCTCTGCATTCCCTTCCACGCTGTGATGGGACAGAGCCAACTATAAACTAAACCTATGAAAGAACAAATTAGCTACCTGGTAACTGGTTCCCTTAAAATCTATCCTGAAACTGGTTGTGGTGGTTCACATCTTTAACCCCAGGACTTAAGAGAGAGGCAGTTTTCTGTGAGTTTGAGGCCACCCTGATCTATGTCGTGAGTTCCAGGCAGTCAGAGCTGTATGATAAGACCCTATCTCAAAAAAAAAAAAAAAAAAAAAAAAAATCTATCCTTAAAAAGTGCTCAAATACCAGGGTAAGTATAAATTATTTCTTGACAAACTCGGTTACAGCCTATTTATGAACATAAAATAAACTCTGAATTTCTGTTTTCTCCATGGTCTGTAGGTTAATTGGATGGGGTACGTTATACTGCTGGTATCAGGAGCAAAGACATCATAGGAAACATGATACTGCCATTGCTGGACCCTGAAAAAGTCTTTACAGGGATACTGATACTGCATTGAGCAACTCTTAGGAATAATGGCTCCATACTAACTGTGGAACCAACAACCTCTGCAGAACACCCCAAGGTAACCCAAATCACTGTCTTTGTTAGACAGTCTCTGGTTCTCTGTAGTGCTGTAGTTGATACTCAAGTTGCCCAGGCTGGCCTCAAACTCACTCCTTCTGCTTCCCCTGCCTCCACTTTTGGAGGGCTAGGATTATAGACATGTGCCACCATACCTGTTTTTATCCAGTGCTGATTGGGGTGTGTCAGTTATTTTGAAGCATTCAACAAAAGTTAAACTTTGGGGGTTGGAAAATATAACTTACTGGTAAAATGCTTGCTACACAGCATGAGGACCTGAGTTTGGATCGTTGGCACCCATGTAAAAAGCTGGGCACAGCAGCATATGCCCGTAATCCCAGTGCTAGGGAGGTAGACGCAGAATTCCTTGGGTCTTGATGTCTAGGCAGTCTGGCCTAAACAGGTGAGCCCCAGGTCCTGGTGTGAGACCTTGTCTCAAAAAATAAGGTGGAAAGTGATGCTGACCCCTAGTTTCCACATGTGCACATACATACACACATGTTAAGTTTTTAATGTGTGTTTTTGGAGAGCATTAAAAAGTTCTTATTCTTCATTTTGCTTAATGCCACATTTTAAAACCAATTTCTAACTACTTTTAGTTACAATCTTCTATTTATATACTGATTTGTTTTTATTGTGACCTTACATATTTCTGAGAAAGAATTCTTTTAGCTATAATTAAGAAATAGAGATGAAGATAATTTAAAGTAAGAAAGCAGTCATCTGAATATGTAGAATATTTAAGGGGAAGTCAATCACTGGAATATGCTTCTGAGCTATTTCAGGAGAAAAAGATAACATTCATGAGTTCTCTATCAAGTAGAACATGAATAAAAGACAGATAAATAATTATGTGGAAACAGTCTCTTTTTGTTATTCCCTATCAGAGAATAAAAGAGATTAAAAAATCATACCTTGCGGGGGGTGGGGAAAAAAAAAATCATACCTTGCAAAAAATCTCAATTAAAGCAGGCACAGCACTCCTTAACTTCACAGCTGCCACATACTCAAATATTTTTAGTAATATTTTCAGAGCAGGCTGGATAAAAGAAACAAACAAGAATAGCACTTACTTCCATGTCTTTAGTGTACCTTAAATTTCTCAACTTCGTTTACACTGGAAAATGTGTTCTCTGAGGAGTTTGTGACAGGCAGAAATTTAAGTGCTAACTTAACACACAAAGATGAGACCAGCAGAGTTGGTGCTCATGCATTTCAGGTTACTCACCAGCATTTTAGCCATTATGCTGAGCTTCACTATCTGAAAGACTTCTTTCAATAAACAATGCTTGAGTAAAGAAATCAGAAGGTCATTTAGCACTTGTAAGTTGAAGTGTATCCCTGGGGGAAACTTTCTGTAGTACTCCAGAAATATGTGTGCTGAAAATGAAAAATAAAATTAGTCATTTGCTGCTCTTAAGACAGAAAAATAGATGGATTTTCTGTAAAGATATTATATAAATTCATTCCTTGAAAGGGACCAGAAATGTCAGAAATAACTGATGAAAATGAAAGCAAAAAGTCAAAATGGTAGTGACATCAGCAGTCAGTCTGCACAGGATGAAGGCCACCATAGTCTTAATGCTACTCCTCCTCAGAGCCTTACTCCACAGGGTTCTGTCCATCCAGTTCCTTAACCTATTTTCTGTATAACACTTAAACTATTTTCACTTTTCCACATTAATTTTACTAAAATTAACTGAGATAACCTTATCATCTTTTTCCCATTCCAAAATTTCCTAGTCCAAATTTTCACATTTTAGCTAAAACTGCCTTAGCAAAAATCACTTTTAGTTTTATGTTATTTCAACCACAAATGCTCATTACTCTCTGAATTACCCAATACTGTGGAAGTCACTAGATAATGAAAAAGTTCAGCTAAACTGAAAAGTTAATGTTAAGCAGGTTTAAAAATATCATGTAATAAGGTTTGTCTATGTAGCCCCAACTGTCCTGGAATTTGCTCTGCAGCCCAGGCTGGCCTTGAACACACAGAGATCTACCTGCCTCTGCCTCTCAAGTGCTGGGATTAAAGGTGTGTGCCCCAGTGGCCCAACTCATTTTATTTTTAATTATGTGTACATGTGTGGGTTTGTGCATATGAGTGAAATATTTGAGGAGGCCAGAAGAGTGCATTGGATCACCAGGAGCTGGAGTTACAGGCAGTTATCACCCGCCCACCACGAGTGCTGGGAACCAAACTCTGGACCTTTACAAGGGCAGTGCATGCTCTTAAAGCACTGAACCATCTCTCCAAGTCCCTTGCAATTTACCTTGAAGTGATACATTGTAAGACACAGACACAGACACAGATAGACTTACACACATACCCCAACTAAATTCAGATGTTTTTCTCATGGCCACTGATGCTTACACAGTTTTACATCTGAAGAGTTTCCCATAGTTCCCATCCATGTCCTTTGTGGTGATATACTGTATACCCCAATAAAGCCAGAGGATCAGAGGACAAAGTCAGCCACTAGATTACACATAGAGGCCAGATAGTGGTGGCACACACCCTTAATCCTATCACTTGGGAGGCAGAGATCCTTTTAGATCTCTGTGAGTTCAAGGCTACACTGGAAACAGCGAGCCAGGCAGTGATGACACACACCTTTAACCCCAGTGCTGGGAAGCACACACGCCTTTAATCCCAGGAAGTGAGGACAGGGCAGAAAAAGGTATATAAGGCATGAGGAAAAAGGAACTCACTCTAAAGAGACTGATGATTTTGTAGAGGTAAGAACTAGTGGCTGGCTGTTCTGCTTCTCTGATCTTTCAGCTTTCATCCTGATATCTGGCTCTGTTTTTTGTTGTTTTTTTTTTTGTTCGTTTGTTTTTTGTTTTGTTTTGTTTTTAATTAAAAGACCATCTAAGATTCAAACAACATCTTCTCTTTTCACAGGCTTTAGAATTGTTTCGGAAACTTGGAAACTCACCTACATTTAACCCCATTTAACTTCTTGGCTGTCACAGTCCCTGGATCATTCATTCTCATATTGGGTCCTATTGCCTCTAACTAACCAACTTCTTTACTAGACATGAGGGCCCTGGATGTTTTCAGAGGAATGAGACTGAAGATGATGAACATGGAGCTGTAATGCTCTATTACTACTATGCTGGGTGGCTTTAGTGGCTGTGTCAGGGGACAAATGTATATAAACTTTGGTTCTTATCCTCTTAGGGCTCATAATCCAGCACTGTGAGGGGATGGAGGTGAGGAATGGGGTGAAGCTGTGGACTCAGACAAGGGCTAACAGAGAAGGCAATCCTCTTGGTAAGGATAGAACCTTGAAGGCTACCCAGCTATTTGTCATGGGAAGAGAAACGACGGCAGAGTACCCTAGACAGACAGCATGGTGACAGCAGGATTGAGGCTCGGCACAGGCCTCGCTGATGGAGCTGTACAGAACTGACAGGATGCTGCCCTGGCAATGAGGGGAAATGTGGAAAAAGAAGGGTAAAGAGGGAAGATCCAGGATCTAAAGGAGCCTTGCATAGAGAGCTAATGGCTGATGAGCAAGATGTTTTCTCTTTTACATATGTAAATGAAATTTCTAAGTCAAGAAATATTAGTACATAAGGGTGTTACATTGTTAGGCAGACATAGATTTTATTTTTAATAATTTTTAAGGCCAACAGAGCCAATCTTAGGTGACATTCAGTTTTCATACTTAGTTTGAAAATAAATTTTAAGTTTATTTTATAATTAAAAATTATTGTGTATGTATATGCATGATGCATCTGTGTGGGTGCGAGTGTAGAAGGCAGAGGACAACTCTGTGGATTTGGCTCCTTCCACATTTAGGTGGGATACAGGGATCAAACTCAGGCTGCCAGGTTTTCACAGCAAGCACGTTTACCTTTCTGGACTAATTTTAACACTTGCTGACACAACAGCACACGTGTGGAGCCACTCCCAGGAATCTGTAATTATCATTCAGTCATTCCATACCTGCTCGCTGTAGCAAATGCTGCTCATTGAGACTTATGTATTTCCTAAAAACATCCATGCAGATCTACAAAAGTCATAAAATATTAAATCACCTTTACATGTTTTACAAGAAAACAGAAAGTTATGAGCTTAGAGCTTAAAATAAAAGTTGATATTCAAGTTAATTCACAGGCTTGAAATGTGTACTAGACTGACCTCTGCCTCCACCTCCCAAGTTCTGGAATTTAGGTGTGTGCCACTGTGTCTGGCTAATGGTCACCATGACTGTGAAGACACCAAGAGCTGACAAGGGTGGCATGACACCCTGTGAGTGTGACCTGGAACAGCCACTTCAGAACTTGTCCCACAGGCTCTACTGGGACTGAACACACACAGTCCCTATGGCATAAGCACATGTTTGCCAGGAGACAAGAAAAGAATGCCAAGAGTATCGCTGCTGTGTTATCCAAACAGGGAAATGATGCAAATGTCCATCAACCTTAATGTTCACTAATAGTTAATTTTGATAAACTTGTAGTGCAGGGAGAAGGGGCTAGCTAAAGAAACCCACCCTGACCTGGAGCCCAGAAACAGTGAAAGAAACACAGCCTAGATCTGGGACATGAGCCAGAGAAAGAAACACTTTATCCCCAAACCCAGAACCAAAGAAACATGCCCTGACTCTGAAACCAGTGCCAAAGAAACACACTTTGTCCCTAGAATCAGAGCCAGTGAAAGAAATATGCCTTGGCCTAAGAATTAGAACCAAAAAGCTAAGAAAGGTCAGTGAAAGAAACAGTTTGGTTCTGAAATCAGGGCCATCTCTGCCCCTGACTAACAAAACTAACCAATCTCTGAGCAGAAAAAAACTAACCAATCCCTGGACAGAAAAATCTTCTCCCTGGAGAAACTCTGTCCCCAAGAGATCCTATATAAACCACCCCACCTGTTCAGTTGTGGGCTGTGCTTTCCCACCCAAGTAGAGGCAGCCACTCTCCTGGACTCCTCCTTCCCAAATAAATCTCTTTCTCAAAAGAGTCTTGGGTGTGAAGATCTTCATTCACTGATACAAAGAAGAACCTTGCTAAGATGTCCCTTAGGGGATTGAGCAGAAAAAAACCTTGCAGAGACGTTCCTTAGGGGACAGAGGACGGTGGAGCAGAAAAAGTAACTTTTCACCTGAGCCTGAGGAGACTGCTACATTTCTGCAGGGTTTTCCCTTTAGCAGAGTGAAGCAAAAGCAGCAACATCTTGGGCCAGAGAAGAAGCAGAGTTCTGCTGGGAAGTCCCCTTAAGTGGAGGTTGAGCAAATCTCAGCTGTAGTGGCTCTCCAGGAGAGGAGCAGGATTGCTATATCCTGTGGGGAGACCATCCCCACTGCACCCCAACTCCAGGTATAGCCTGACTCTCCCAAGCAGTCGGGATACCTTCCCCTCCAGAGCTGAGCTGTCCCATTGCAGCTTCAGCTGCCAGAGCTGTCCTAGCAGCTCAAGGTGTCGCCTGACTCCCTGAACAGTCAGGATACCTTTCCCCCAGAGTTATATGTAACACTTGCTTACATGTAGAATAGAATATTAACTATTACACAGTAAGGAGAAAGAAACATTAACAACTAGATGTCAAAAATATTAAGCCAAAGTGGGCAAACCAGGCGCTATGGTATGTACTTTTAGTCTGGGCTTCTTGGGAGGTTGAGGCAGCAGAGATTTGAGATCAGCCTGAGAAACACAGCAAGACTCTGTATAGAGTTACGTATACAATTCATATAAAGCATAAACTCTGTGCTATCAGAGCATTGTGACAATCAAATAAAATGCATGTAGTAAGACCGTCTCCACCGCACACAGGGCTCTACCTTTTCATCTCCCTGCTCAGGCACATGGGTGAATTTGCACTGTGCTCGCTCACAGCCACGTAACGTATTAAAATGAAATTTGCAGTATCTATAGGGTATCACCAACCCTAAGGGCTTCTGGAACACCTACAAGATTAGAAAAAACATTTTCTATGTTAATCATAAAACATAGTCAAATGAGGACATGTCTGAGTATTTCAATGCTTTAACATAATAACTAGTTCAGAATGATTTACCCATGACTTTTATCAACTTCTCATATAAAAGATTCCATGAGGATTAGGACTGCTTTGTTTCATTTTTTTTTCTTGAGTCAGGGTCTCACTATGTAGCCTTGGCTGGCCTGGAACTCACTATGTAGACCAGGCTGGCCTTGAACTCAGAGAGATCTTCCTGCCTCTGCCTCCAGAGTGCCAGGATTAAAGTTATGCACTACCATTCCTGGCTTGCTTCACATTTTTAAAGACTTGTTTTTAGGACAATTTTAGGCTCACAGCAAAACTTACTGGAAATCACAGCAATCTTGTGGACTCCCTGCCCACCCATCTATCTTTAAAAGCTTACATAGGGGTTCTCTCTTTCAAGCTCTCACCTCCTCTTTCACAGAAAGCTAGCTATACCATATAGAACACATTGCATTTCAGATGCCTTTATTAGAAACAAAACTCTCCTTGGTTCTTCTGATTAACAAGAGGAGAGAAATGATAAATCTGAACTTTATACAGCAGACATCTCCACAGCTGACATCCCCTCCTCCTCCTAGCTTTCAGCTTCAGAGGCTCCTTTTCTTATGCTTCAAGCCTGTCACTGGTGAACATCCTCTAAGTCAGTGTTTATTCTCTGCTGCTTATTCCTACCTAATCCCCACACAAAATCTGTGTGTTTGCAACTGTTTAAAAAGGGACTGGATCCTTCTGCTTGTATTTCCCTAACTATGGGTTATAATTTACAAGATTCTTACTTTTTAGGAGAGGGGACTTACCCCCATATTTTTTTCTCTTTTAAATATTTCACATGTTTCAGGATTCTTCAGCTGTAGGACTGGGTGTCTTGCTGGAAATCTGAAATCTAGAAGTAGAAGAGCATTACAAACAAGCAGGGAACACTGACTTCTGAACAGTGGCAGTCACTCCTGCCTGCTTTAGTTTTCACTCTGGCATACTCTTTTTTTTTTTTTTTTTTTTTTTTTTTTTTTGGTTTTTCGAGACAGGGTTTCTCTGTGTATCTTTGCGCCTGTCCTGGAACTCACTTGGTAGCCCAGGCTGGCCTCGAACTCACAGAGATCCGCCTGGCTCTGCCTCCCGAGTGCTGGGATTAAAGGCGTGCGCCACCACCGCCCGGCAACTGGCATACTCTTTATTCTTTGAAAATTAAAAAAAATTATTTATTTTTATGTGTATAGGTAATTTATGAATGTCTGTGCATCACCTGCAATGTCTGCTGCCCTTAGAGGCCAAAAAAAGGGTGTTTATGGTGGTTTGAATAAGAATAGCTCAGATAGGCTCGGCTCATATATTTGAATGCTTAGTCATTAAGGAGTGGCACTCTTTGAGAAGGACTAGAAAATGTGGCCTTGTTGGAGAAAATGTGTTACTGAGGGTGGGCTCTTGAGGTTTCAAAAGCCCATGTCAGGCCCGGTTCTTTCTCTTTCTGTTGCCTGCAGATCAGGATGTAGAACTCTCAGCTACTTCTCCAGCACCATGTCTGCCTGAATGCTACCATGCTCATGATGATAATGGACTAATTAATGTAAGCAAGCCCCAATTAAATGCTTTCTTTTGTAAGAGTTGTTTTGGTCATGGTGTCTCTTTACAGCAATAGAACACTGACTAAGAGTGTTGGATCCCATGGGGGTGGAGTTAAAGACAGTTGTGAACTGACATGTGGGCACTGGGAATCAAACCCACGTCCTCTGTGAGAACAACCAGTATTTTTAACCATGAGTCATTTCTCTAACATCCTCTTTTATCTTTTTGTTCCCTACATTAAAGTGTGTGTGTGTGTGTGTGTGTGTGTGTGTGTGTGTGTGTGTGTGTACATGTGTCACATACATACTTGGGCATACAGCACATGTGCAGGTTTGGAGGTAAGAGTATAACTTGGAGAAATCACTTCTTTCCTTCTACCATGTTTCAGGGATCAAACTCAGGTGGTCAGGCTTGGTGGGAAGTGCCTTGACTGGCTGAGCTACCCCATACGCCCTGCTATGGGCACATTTTTATTCAATTTAGACTTGTATTGCCATGTATATTATTGTGACTTACATTTGTATATACTGTATATACCGAATGACTTACGTCTTGTGTTCCCTGAAACACTTCTAGACCTGAACTTAAAGTTTAAAGTTAACTATAGCTGCAGATAATTTTCTTAAAAGATGTAAGTATTCTTGAGCCCTAGTCCAGTAAAACACCTCACTCAAACCTTTCTTAAGGAAGAATACTGACAAATCTATACTAGGAACTTGGCTGGGTCTTTGACAGATTCATAGCCTGAACCCCTAATCCTCAATGATGCCAGGGGCCCTATAAGCATACACACCAAAGAATGTACTCTCTTTACACACTCAGAGAAAGAGATACATGAACTCAGTAAGAAGGTGGGCTTTTGAGACATAAACAGGATCCTCAGAAACCCAACCTGCTAGAATCTTGGTTCTGGACTCCAGAATCATCAGGAATAAATCTCTATTTAGGCCCCCTAGTCTGTGATACTTTGTTACAGTACCTATGCTGATCAGCACAGCAGACACTGCACTTTTTAATGGTGTCTTCTAAAAATTTAGTTTCATTATTTTTAATTGTGTACTGTGTGTGTGTGTGTGTCTGTGTGTGTGTGTGTGTGTGTGTGTGCATTTGCATACAAGTGCAGTGCCTGCAGAGGTCAGAGATGTTGGATACTCTGGCGCTGGAGTTACAGACAGTTGTGAGCTGCTTGTCATAGGTGCTGGGAACTGAACTCAGGTCCTCTGAAAGAACACCAAGTGATCTTAAATGTGGAGTCATCTCTGTAGGCCTAATGGTGTCTTTTAAAACAAGAACTAGGACATTTAAAACACTGTTTTCTAAAGGCAATTTTTATGTAGTATGGTGTGTGTGTGTGTGTGTGTGTGTGTGTGTGTGCATGTGTGCTTACCTCAGCATGCTCAAGGTGGTCAGAGTTAACATCGGGTACCTTCCTTTATCAGTCTCTACCACATTTTTCTTTGTTGCTGATTTTTGAGCCACCATTTTACTATGTTTCCCTGGCTGTCCTGGAACTCACTCTGTAGACCAGGCTGACCTCAAACTCACAGAGATCCGAGTGCTGAAACTAGCATGCCCAGCTTCTACTTCATGTTTTTGTTTTTTCTTTTAATTTTATGTATATGAATGTTTTGGCTGAAAGTCTGTGTGTGTGTCGTTTGTGTGCCTGATGTCTGAGAAAGTCAGAAGAAGGCTTCAGGTCCTCAGGAACTGGAGATACAGATGGTTGTGAACTACCATGTGGATGCTGAGAACTGAATCCAGGTCTTCTAAAAAAGCAACAAGTATTTTTAACTGTGGAGCCATCTCTCTATCCCCCACTTCATGTTTTTGAGACAGGGTCTCTCACTGACCTGAAGTTCATTGTTGCAGCAAGACTAGATAGCCAGTGAGCCCCTGGGGTCCACCTTGTTCCTCTCCCCAGTGTTGGATTTATAGATGTGTACCTTCATACCCAACTTCTACATGGGTGCTAGGAATCTGAATTCAGGTCCTTATATTTCTTTTTTGTTGTTTGTTTGTTTGTTTGTTTTTTGAGACAGGGTCTCTTTATTATATAGTTCTGGCTATTTTGGAACTTGCTTTGTAGACCAAGCTGGATCAGGCTAGACTAAGATCACAGAGATCCATCTACCTCTGCCTCCCAATTGCTGGAATTAAAGGCACATACCACCATATCTGGCTATCAGGTCCTTATGTTTGTGAGGCAAGCATTTACCCAATGAGCTATCTCCTCAGCACAAATATTTTTATTTCAATTGTTCATATTTTACCTCTGTAGCATCTGGATATAATCTGGAACAGGCTGAAAGTATGCTGCCTATGATTTACAGCAATTTATATTATGAAAGTTAGAAGGTTTTGAAATAAAACACACATTGCTGCAATGGCCTACAATACCAGGTAGGATGAAGGGAGTACCGGGAAAGCTCAGAAGGGTGAGATGCGTGCTGTACAAAGTAACTTAAGTTTCTAAACTCATCCTTCAACAGAGCTCATTTTGTTTAGAGAATTAGAGAATTCTGAATTATGAAAGATAACACAAATCCATATATAACACATATACAAGTATAATTAAATAAAATATGAATACTTTAGTTTTTTCACACAATACCACTGTCACATAAACACAGGTATTTTTATTTCAGTAGCAATGACTTCTATGAAATTTTTATATTACTTCAAGAATAAGAAAACAAGTATTACCATTCATCCAGGGAACTGGTACTGCATCTTCTTGAAGACTGCTTAGATTCAAAGGAAGGACTGATGAGCAGAGAGGTTTGGGGTCCAGTGTTTCTAACTGACATTCATTAACCACAACCTCTGCATCTTTAGAATCTTTGCTGTATGAACAGAAAAACTGAATCAGAATTATCAGCGTATTGAAAAAATATTACAGCAATGAGAATCAAGTAAGCAGAACTATAACCTACTGCTATATATGTTCCATGTACTATTCTATACACTATAAATTATGATTTTGCAATATTTCTAATGGGGTGCTCCTGTCTTCCTTAAATTTTATTTTACTTAATAATTTATGGTTGATGATGATGTTTTTGGGAGGGGTGCATATGCCATAGCGAGTGTGTGGCAGTCAGAGGATAACTCTGTGAAGCTGGGTCTCTCCTTCCACTTTTATGTGGATTTTGGACACTAAACTTAGGTTTTCAGGCTTGTACAGCAAGTGCTTTTACCTGCTGGGCCATCTTGCTAGCCCAAGGTCCCGTCTTCTTAACACAAGACCAATAACTGAAATGGCTGAGGTAGGGATAGGAATAGTGTATTATGGATTGAATGTGAAATGTTCTCCATGGGCTCATTTGTCTGAACACTTGGTTCCCAGCTGATGAATCTACGAAATCTCTAGGAGGTAGGGGCTAGTAGGAGAGAAATGAGTGGCTATGGGGCAGGTCTTGAAGGCTACACAGCCTGAGTTTCTGCTTCCTGATCCACTGGGATGTGACAAGTTCCTGTTATCATCTATTTGCCAAGAACTGTGCCATGTTTTCTCTACCATGAAACATCCTCTCAGACCATGAGCCAAACCAAATCCTTCTTCCCCTTTGTTGCTTCTGACAGACATGTTGTCACAGTAACAAATGCAATGAACAAAGGGTGATGTGGTTATGACCACAGCAATCCCGGTGTAGGAGGGAGGAGGCAGGAGGATCATGGGTTTAAGGGTAGTGTGGACTACAAGCAAGATCTTATCTCAAAAGCAAAAACCAAAAAGCCAACCCCCAAAATGCACACAAAAACCATTATAGCAAACCCCAAAACCACAACCACCACCACCACAACAAAAAACCCAAACTTTTTTTGAGATGGCACATCACTATCCTGTTCTTGAACTATGCTGGCTTTGAACTCCCAGGTCAAGTCATCCTCCTATCTCAGCTTCCTGAGCATGGGAACTACAGGAATATACCACTGGGCTTAACTGGAAATATTTTTTATCATACCTGATGAAAGGTTCAAGGAATATAAAGTATGTATTCTAAACAAGAAAAGGTATCTACTTACTCTCCTGACCACAGAATGAAGCCAGTGCATCATAGCACAATTCCCTTATCCAGTTTCACACTTCATGGTTCAGTTACCCAGGATAAACCATAATGCTAAAATACTAATGGAAAACTCCGAGAATAATTTCTAACTTTTAAACTGCATCCTGTTCTGTAGATTAGGATGGTATCTGGCTAATCCTGCTTCATACTGCATGGGAAGTGAACTATTCTCCTGCCAATATATACAAGCACTGGTCAGTCATTTACCCACATCGGTACAATTAACTGTCATTGTGTTATATTGCTTGTATTCACGGAACAGGAACCCTTCAGGAGCAACCTAACTCTATATTACTCTGGCCACTTTTGTTTTGCTTTATCTCTTATGTAGGCAGTTTGTCTTCTTGCATCATCACGAGATGTGACAGAACAAGCCAGGATCAGAATTTATATAGCACAGTGTTAAAATAGTTCTTTACTGGTGATCTCTTACTGTACCTAAGTTATAGAATGTATGTGTAGGAAAAAGCCACAGGGTTCGTACTATATGAATTTACAGATATCTGCAGGGTCTGGGAATGAGCTTCTGTGGATAAAGAGGAGCTACCATATAAATTCTTCTGGATAAGTATTTATATAAGATTTATATAATAAATCTATATATGTCTGAGAGTATTCCCTGGACAGAACCATACAAATATTACCAGGTTGATGATATAAACAACTTTAACTGCACTTTAGTATAACTGCATAACAAATTTCATTAAAATATTAGCCTGGGGGCTGGAGAGATGGCTCAGTAGTTAAGAGCACTGGTTGTTCTTCCAGAGGTCCTGAGTTCAATTCCCAGCAACCACATGGTGGCTTACGACCATCTGCAATGAGATCTGGTGCCCTCTTCTGGCCTGCAAGCATGCATGTAGGCAGAACACTGTATACATAATAAATAAATAAATCTTAAAAAAAATATTAGCCTGGAAGTTACTTATATAGAAAAATAACTCAAGGATGTCTAAAAGGCACAAATTGACTTTTACAGAGAAAGGAACCAATATTTAGATAGTATCATCTTTTAACCTTAAAAACAATTACAAGCTTTTTCACTGGATTTACTTGGGGGGCGGTGGTGTTGTGGCAGGAGAGAAAAACCAGTAAGAAGCAGGGAATTATAGCTGAATTTATAACAGCTGAAATTTAGTAGCATAAGGAGAATTTAAAAATTAAAGAAAGATATCAGTTTTCTCCTTGATTTGGGATATCACTGATATATGTATTCAACATTCTTCCCTAATAACATGGACAAAAGCAGCAGCAGAAAGATGGATGATGGCTGCTGAAGTACAGTCTTTCTGACCGCAGTAACACTACCTCACAGTAAAGAAAACTCAGCTTTCAGTGTCTGTTCTTGTTGAAGATCTGCAATGGCCATTGTAGTGGTTTGAAAGAAAATGGCCCCCATAGGCTCACAGGGAGTGGCACCATTAGGAGGTGTGGCCATATTGGAGCAAGTGTGTCACTAGGGGTGGGCTTTGAGGTTTCAGAATCTCAAGCCAGGCCCAGTGGTTCACATGCTTTTCCTGCTGCCTGGCAATCCAGACGTAGAACCCTCAGCTCCTTCTCCAGCACCGTATCTGACTGTGCACTGCCATGCTTCCTGCCATGACGATAATGAACTGAACCTCTGAACCTGTAGGCCAGCCCCACTTAAATGTTTTCCTTTATAAGAAGTGGCGTGGTCTGCTGGGCAGTGGTGGCGCACGCCTTTAATCCTAGCACTTGGGGGGCAGAGGCAGGTGGACCTCTATGAGTTCAAGGCCAGCCTGGCTTACAGTGTGAGTTCCAGGACAGCCAGGCCTACACAGTGAAACTCTGTCTTGAAACCCCTGGCTCCCCTCCCCCAAACTGCCATGGTCATAGTGTCTCATCACAGCAATAGAAACCTTAACTAAGACAGCCATGAAGCATGCTGGGCTTCCATGTGATCTAACTCCCCTGCTCTGCTCTTAACAGTAGTTCTCAACCTTGAGCTTCCATCAGGGTGAATTCTTATTGAACACAGACTGATGATGGGTCCTAGCCCCAGAGTTCCTGGTTCAGTAAGCCTGGGTAGGACCCTACAACTGCATTTCTGACAAGTTCTCATGTGCTATTGCTATTCTAAGGATCCATACATGAACATCTTAGCCTGAACATAAATGGACTAGAACACATTCACCTTCTGACTTGGGTGTGCCTTGTCACAGCAGCTAAATGAGTATAGAAGATGGTTTAGATGATGCACCAATGGGGCAGTTTGTACGTGATGGTAAATGCATTCTCTTAGTACAAGTCATCGCATCCACATGCAATACTTGTTGAAAATGTAGTTTATTTGATTTCAGCTATCATGACTTTTATGGAGTCATACAGCCTTATCCATTGAATTTATCACTATTTTTTAAGTATTTCATTTTTAATTATGTGTGTGTGTGCAGGTGTCCTCAAAAGTCAGGAGAGGGCATCATATCCCTTAGAGCTGAAGTTACAGATGGTTGTAAGCCACTATGGTGGTTTGAAAGAAAATGGCCCCCAAAGGGAGTGGCACTATTAGGAGGTGTGGCCTTGTTGGAGGAAGTGTGTCATTGTAGGCGTGGGCTTTGAGGTCTCTTGCTCAAGCTTCCCTCAGTGTGACTATCAGTTAACTTCCTGTTGCCTGCAACATATAGCACTGTCAGCTCTAGCACCATGTCTGCCTACATGACACCATGCTCCTTGTCATGATAATGATGATGTCATGATGATAATGATGGACTGAACCTCTGAAACTGTAAGTGATCCACCCCAATTAAATGTTTCCTTTGTAAGAGTTGTTATGGTCATGATGACTCTTCACAACAATGAAAACCTTAACTAAGACAGCCACCCAATGTGGGTGTTAGAAACTGATCTTGGATTCCTTTATAAGAGTAGCCACACCGGAGTCATTTCTCCAACACCTATCACTGTTTTTAATGGCTCAAAAACTTGCTGCCAGGGGCTGGGGGATTGCTCAGAAGGCAAACAGCTTTCTGTGCAAGCATGGGAATTGGAGTACATAAATGCTGGGTAAATGTATAAAAACAGGCTGGGAGGTGGGGGCAGGGAATCACCAGAGCAAGCTAGCTAGCCAGACAAATCTTATCAGAGATCCTTGAGTTCAAGGGAGAGACCCCACCTCTCTATATATCCAACATCAACTTCTGGTCCACACATGCACACACATGCATGCAAACTCACACACATGTGCAGCTACACACATGCAAACATGTAAACACACACACCCATACAAAGAAGAATAAGAATAACCCCATTTTACTACCAGCTTTAAAGTAACTTAAATTACCTTTGCATCTGGGAACTGATGCACAAATTAAACCACATCCATGTGCATAGCTTATGGGATACTAGTCAATGATATACAACAGAGTTACAATTACATTACAGACCTTTTGCAAACTTCCTGAGTATTCGCTTGCTCTTCTTTAATAGTTGCCTTGTCTGAACTGCTGCACTGTGAAGAGATTATAGTTAAAGAAGTAGACGTGAGTATTTCTGTGATACGTTTAAACCGTGAGGCCTGCCAGGGTTATTAGAATGGTGTGGGATATAATTTAACTATTAGATGGCCTGAAGACAGTTTTACTTTATATAATTTAAAATGCTCAACAATAACTTAAAACTTTCTCCGGCTGCTGGTCATGCTGGCACCAACTATATTCCCCCAGTGGAGGCAAGAGGATCAGTAGTTGTGCAAGGCTATCCTAGCTACTTACTGAGTCTAAGGTCAGATCAGGCTAGATGAGACCCTGTCTCAAACAAACAAACAAACAAACAAACAAACAAACAAACAACTCCAGAAAAATGTAATACATTAACAAGTAGAAACCACTAGGGTGTGGCTCAGTGTCAGACCTCCTGTGCAGCAAACCTGAAACCCTCTATTCAGTACCACAAAAAAAATCAAAGCAGCAAGTGGAAAGATGTGTCATGTTCCCAGATGAAAATGTTGAAGATAAAGTGCTAATTCTCCAGAGTGCTTTTACACACTGAAAACTATTTCCAGCATGAGTTTGAAGCATCTTAGAATGTAGGAAAGGGAATAAAAAATGCTTTAGGTTTATAACACATTTTAGTGTGTTTTAGAGCCAGCTTTTCTTACTGCTTCTGTTTTCCTAATGACTGATGGGATGCTAAGGAAGCATGTACTAAGTACCTGGGGAAAAAAGAGTTTAATTCCACATATAATATTTAAGATGTTAATGATAGGGCTGCAGTTAAACGTGCTGGCTGTTCTTTTAAAGGACCTGGACTTGATTCCCAGCATCCACATAGCAGCTCACAAGCATCTGTATGTAACTTCAGTTCCAGCAAATTTAACACCCATTTCTGTAGTGGGTAGCCATTCCAGCTTTGATCTGGAAGTTCCAACCCCCATTGAGGCTTCATTAACTGTCACACCTACAAGGTGGGGCCAAGAGAGGACCCTGAAGACCCGAGATCTGGATGCGCCACCTCTCTTGGTTTCTGGACCCTGGATGCTGGAGGTAGACCAAGCAGAGTTCTCCAGAGAACACCGCCAGACTGCGCTACGTCTTTCCCAGACCCTGCAACCTACCTATCCCTTCATTTGTAAGTTACACCACTAAATAAACCTCCCTTTTAACTATGTGGAGTGGCCTTAATAATTTCACCAATACATTTCCACTTTCCACAGTTACCAGGAATGTACATGGTTCACAGATATATGCAGGCAAATATACACACATGAAAATTTTTGTTTTGTTTTGTTTTTTTTCAAATAGGGTTTCTCTGTATAGCCCTGGCTGTCCTGAAACTCACTCCATAGACCAGGCTGGCCTCGAACCCAGAAATCTGCCTGCCTCTGCCTCCTAAGTGCTGGGATTAAAGGTGTACACTACTACCACCCAGCTAAAAATTTTTTAAAACAATATGTAAAAGACAGCATTTGAAATTTCTAAGAAAATTATTTGATCAATGGTATAACCAGCTAGTTAAATTTATAGATAATAAGCATGATGCTGACTCATTGTAAGTCAAAATGCCTTTCAGGTTCCTTTAAGATTTATTATATATATAAAAATTCTGAAAGTAGCTGTAAGACCAGGAACTCTAAAACTACCAGGAGAAAACATTTCAAGGTATAGGAAAAGATAAGTACTTTGTCTATAGGACTCCAACACATACATACACACACACACACACACACACATACACATAGCTGAAAATTTCAGGAAACAGGCAAAGAACAAACAGAAGCTCACAGAAAAATGACAATGACTTTTTAAAATGTTGAAAACTAGACTTAAAAGAAATGTAAATTAAAACTAAAACAAAATCATTTGTAAAAATAAGCAGATGGACAAGTTTAAACACTTAATTAGTTGATGAATTTGGGGAGAAAACAGCACTCTCAGCAATATTGTTGGAAGTACAAATCATAGTAACCTCTACATTGACAATCTGACAATTCTAACTCTGGAAATTGAAAAAAAATGCTTGGACATATGCAAAATACCTTATGCTTAAGATTTATAATGTAGCAATATTTAAATAGCAAAATAAAAACAAACTAAATATCCATCAATAATGCTACTTATTCAAACATAGCCATATAATTATATAACTGTAAGAACATGATATCTCTATGTACACTGAAAGGGAATAATCTCCACTATATACATCAGTGTGGTGGTTTGAATGAGAATGACCCCTCGGCTTATACATTTGAATGCTTGGTCCCCAGGGAGTGGCACTGTTTGAAAAGAATTAGAAGGAATAGGAGGTGTGGCCTTGTTGGAGGAGGTGTGTTGCTGGGAGTGGGTTTTGAGGTTTCAAAAGGCCATGCCAGGCCCAGTGTCTCTCTCTCTCTCTCTGCCTGCCTGCATGCTGCCATGTTTCCTACCATGATGATAATGGACTAATCCCCTGAAAATATAAGCAAGCCCCCAGTTAAATGCTTTCTTTTATGACAGTTGTCTTGGTCATGGTATCATAGCAACAAAACAGTGTCTAAGACAGTCAGCAATAGGAAAGTAAGATAAAAGATGGCCCTCTAATGTTAGTAACATTCAAAGATCTGTGACAGGCCCACTGTGAGAAGTAGCAGTCTCCCTTTTAGGCTAATCTTTCTGCAGAAAACTGTAAACTCTGCACTGAGTATTTTAAAACTTACGCCTGGAAATCCTAGAGCATGGACAGCACTGCACATGCCCTAGCTGGAACTACTTTGAGAGGAAAAAAAATTGTCCTACCGACACAAACAAGAGAAGACAGAGTTTAGGGAAAAGTCAGAAACTGAAAAGTACAGGTGAGAGCCCTAAAAGAGGATAATCCAAGAGGTGAAGTCACCAAACCTACAAACCTACCAGCTCTAATCTGGCCTGTTCTCAAACCACACTGCATCACCTTTCCGCTGTTGACAGTTCCTTTCTCTGCTCAGCTTTCCTTTAACTCCTTTTCACAAAGGGAGGCTTACCTGGGTGAAGTCTTGCTCTAAGATCACCGTCACCACTCCCTTTATTCCATTTTGAATCAGACCTTTCTTTAAACTTTTTATCTACTTGAGCACTGGACTTGCTTCCAACATTACATTTCTTGGTGCTCTTTTCTCCTCAAACTATGCTTTTGTATATTTTTTTACCCTGTTGGCTCTTTTTCACTGTAGATCTGCATAACAGTGATCACTAATAGACACATGGCACAGGCAATACTAGGCTGTCTTGAATCTCCTCTGCCAATGCCATTAATCTAAAACTCCTCAATTTAGCCTCCGGCAAACTTTTAGGACAAGGGCAGAAAGCAGCCACATTCTTTGCCAAAATATCACAAAAATGATCTCTAGGTCACTTACTAATATTCTTCCTTTCTGAAACCTCTTGAACTGGGCCACCACATCACCCTCAGCACCACTGTCATCCATGTTCCTACGAGGATGGCCCAGTAAGTTCTACTTAATATGTTCAACTGCGTTTCTAGTCCAAAGTCCACAAGTCTTCCATAGTCCTCCAAAACACTGCAAGGTTAGGCCCGTCACAGCAATGCCCCAGTCCTGGTACCACCTTCTTAGTCACTGTTCTACTGATGTGAAGAGACACCATGACCAAAGCAACTCTTACAAAAGAAAACATTTAATTGAGGACTTGCTTACAATTTCAGAGGATTAATTATCATCATGTGGGGAGCATGGGGCTGAGAGCTTATATCCTGGTCTGCAGGTAGGCAGGTAGGGGGACAGAGGGAGGGAGGGAGGGAAGAAGAGAGGGAGGGACAAATAGATAGACTGGGCCTGGTATGGGCTTTTGAAATCTTAAAACCCACTCCCAGAAACACACCTCCTCAAACAAGTCCACACCTATTCCAACAAGTCCATACCTCCTAATCTTTCCCAACAGTTTATTAATAGGAAATTAAGCATCCAAATATATGAGCTTATGGGCCAGTCTCATTCAAACCATAATATATACATACCTATGAGAGGTAGACTCCTAATAGCCCAGCTAGCACTAAAAGTCCTAAACACAGATTTCAACTCCCTCCTACTGCAGGGACGTAAGGTGGCAGCTACTACACACTTCAGCAAAGGACACTCACTTATCTAAGAAATGAAAGCTTAGCTGCACATAAAACCCCTGTAGCCAGCAGCTTTATTTGTAATATCTCAAGCTGGAAGCCACCCAGATATTCATCAGCAAATGAATAGCTCACCAACTGTGGTACCCATACTGTGGAGTACTACTGAGGGGTAAAATATCAAATTATTGATGTATAGAACAATTTGAATGAATAATCCTCAATCTGAGGTGATTACAAACTGCATGATTTAATTTATGTAACATTCTTTTCTTTTCTTTTTTGAGACAGGGCTTCACTGTATATCCCTGCCTGTCCTAGACCAGGCTGTCTTTGAACTCAAAGAAATTGGCCTCAATCTCACAGAGATAGTAACATTCTTGAAATGGCAAAATTGTAGAAATGGAAACAGTGTTTGTTAAGGGTTAGGAAGGGCTGGTAGCAGGAAAGAAGTAGGTACTACTTGTGAAGGGTAGTTTTGGTAAGATGGATGTTCTGTAGTTCACTGTAGTCTTGCCAATGGAGAGACAAAGGAAAGGGCTTCCTGAATAAGACCCTGATGGCCCCAAAGTTGCCATACTCTACTACAGTTCTGCAGCATGACCACTAAGAGAAGCGAGGTAAAGGCACATTCTATGAATCTTCTTAGCATTGCCAGTGAATCCACAGTTACTAGTTTCTAAGTGGGATGCCGCTGAAGCACACTTATGGTGAATTAACAGTACTGATGTCTTAATCATTAGATGATGTTTCCAGTCAATGGCTTCAGCGTTCGTAGCACACACCTTAAATTACAGCACTCAGGAGGCTGAGGCAGGCAGATCTCTGAGTTTGAGGCCAGCCTGGTCTACAGTGTGAGTTCCAGAACAGCCAGGGCTACACAGAGAAATTCTGTCTTGAAAAAAAAAACAAAATAAATAAATAAATAAATAAATAAATAAATAAATAAATAAATAAATAAAAGAAACTATAAAGGTACTGGAGAGAGGGAGAGTTAGGAGCATTTGTTGCTCTTGCAGAGGACCTGGGTTCAGTTCCCAGTACCCATGTGGCAGCTCATAGCCAGCTATAACTCCAGGGCTGTAACTCTGCCCTGAGTGTCTCTCTCCTTTTTTATATTCATCTGTACTTCATTCACTGTCATCTGGGGATCCAAGGCCTTTTTTTTTAGCCTCCACAGGTGCCCGACATGGACATATTACACATTACATACATGCAGGATAAAATTAAATAAAAATAAATCTTTTAAAAACTGTAAAACAGCACATTAAATCCAAAGTAAGCAGAAGAAAGGGAAAAACATAAATCTGAGATAAACAGGTAACAAAAAGCAGAAGAGAATCAGTGACATTAAAAGCGGATTCTTTGAAAATTATCTTGACAGTCAACAGTTCCCTAGCCTAGAGTTCAGTGATGTAGAGGAGGAACTGGAGTAGACAGACTTCAGCGGCCTCTTTTTGTAAAAGAAATGGTATGTGAACATGGCAATGCTCATAATATCTATGGATCTTCTGTGTTAGTGTGGCAGGTTAAGTAGATGTTGCAGTGATCCAATGGCCCACAAAGTCATAGAGTAGCATCTGAGCCCGTAGAAGGAAAAAGTTTTCTGTTGGTAGAGTTGTGGGACTGTTGAGTGTGACCTCAGAAAAGATCACTGACACTAGACTTGGTCCCCTCGTTTGTAAAAGGAAATTACAGTACAAACCTCATATACAATGAAGGTTAACTCAACAAGGGTGGGTTATCCACACACTACATTTAAAGGATTGCCCCTTGCCCTGATTCTGGCAGATAACCTCTAGGCTCTTTGAATGTCTTGCCTTGTAAGTGTCTATTATTTGGGATTCTGGGACCATGCCACATAGTGTATGCTAATAGTATGACTTATTTTAGTGACCTTGGATCATGTAATTGATATTAACTTGACTTTTGGTAGGGCTAGGGCCTGATGGTCTAAGGACAGCTCAGCGTTTGTGACTGATTCTAATAGAAACTCCAACACTAGAGTTAAGGTGAACACTTCTGGCTGGCGATATTCTTGTGCTATGCCACACGCTGTTTCTAAGAGGAGTGAGTATATTGTGGACTCCACCATGGGAGCCTCTTCCCTTTTTACTTATTCTTTCACTGCCATCAATGTAACCATGGGTGTAACAGCTTTACTAACCTCTGTGAGTTCCTGGGGCATATCAGTGACCCTAAGGCATTCTTGGGGAACTCCAAACACCTCGTAACATCATACGGATAATCTATGACAATCCCTGCTAGGTGTTTAACAGTAGTATTTAATAATGGCAATATGTGTTGTCTGTCCAATTGTAAAGCAAGTACTTCATAAACTTTTTCTTCTGTTTCTAGAGCACTTCCAGTACTCATATTCCCTATTCACTTAGCAGTTATCAGCCACTGCTCTCCAAGCTAGACTTTCAAGCATTACACAAAATGGACAAAATTCTTGTCCTTATGGGGTTTTATCCTAGCAGGAGGGACAAAGACAAACAAAGTAAACACAGGTATTTAGGTGGATGTACATGGTCTGAAAATCTAAGTCTAAAACACTCTGAGATTTGAAACTTGGTAAGTGTCAAAATGATGCTCCAATATTTTGGGAACATTTCAGAGTTTTTTTACACAAACATTCCAAGGCTGTGAGTAGTGGTGTAATCTTAGAGGCTAAGAAGACTGTCCAGTCTGAGATGAGCTGGACTACAAAGTAAGACACTATTTCAAAACAAAACCTATCCCAAATTATAATATAGAAACTCTGAAATATGAAATAGTTCTGATTTAAGCATTTCAAATAGGGATACTCCACTTGTAGTATATGCTATGTCAAGACAACTGCAAGAAGGTGGGGTATGGAACGGGGAAACACTGCGATTTTAGGTTATGGCCAGTGAAGGCTCTCCTCGAAGAACATCAGTATGACAAAACCTGAAGGAAACAGGAGCACTGGCCACATCATCTTCTAGGGGAAGAATACTCTAGGGAGACAAGATGACATGGACAGGGCCTTGGAGCAGAACACATCATGGCAAGTCTCAAAAACAAGCTTCGAGGGTGGTCAGGGATAAATGTAAAAGGAATAGCAGGGAGATCAGAGGGGACAGAGTGAGGAGGTTTCAGGGCAGACCTGGAGTGAGCCATGTGGGTCATCACAAAGACTTCAGGTTTGCCTATGAATAACATTAGAAGCTTTTGGAGAGTCTAAGGCAGAAGAAACAATGGCACAAGGAAACCTATGTTGTACTGAGAACACCTTACAAGAGGGCAAGGTTCCAAACAGGTCAGTTAGGAGGCTACTGTAATCATTTGTACAGGACACAATATGGACCTGGGCAGTATTGATAGGGTGGTAAAAGCAGACAGTTTCTAGATATCATGAGAAGAAAAAACAGCAGCATCTCAATAGTCTGTCTATGGTGTGAGGATGAAAATTAAGAAAGCTAAGATTTTGAGTCTGAGTGAGAGAAATAGTGTTGTCATTAACACAGATGGGGGCTGGTTTGTGGTGTAGGAGGAGGGGATATAGAACTGAGAAGTTTTGTTTTTAGCTGTGTTAAGTTTCAAATGCCTAAGTGGGCATTCCAGTGAGCAAGCAGGTGATGAGAGAAAGGTCTGTAGTTCAGAGGAATCTGAGCTAATAATAGAAATGTGAGGGAGTTAGCATATACATTTATGGAATAAACTTAGATGGGACCATGCAAGAGAGTGAATCTAGGCTGAAAATCACTTTAATGTGCAGAGATCAGGGAGACAGAGGAAAACAAAAAACAAAAACACACCAAACAGAGAGGTAGCAGACAAAGGAGAGTAAGCCAAGCAAGTACATTCATTCTGGAAACCAAGTGAAAAAAGGTTGCAGAGAAAGTGAGAGATGAGGATGAAGGCATAGACATACCCATCAGATTCATCGGTCAGTGAGGTATCATTGGAGAGGCTACAAAGGGTAGTTCTAGTGGAAGGCTGAAGACCTTTGCAAACTGGAGATGATGAGTACAGAATAAACATCTTGAGATTCAGAATCACAGATCAAAGGGTTCTATTAAAGGCTTTGTTCTATTTAAAGATGAGAGAAAGTATGTTTGTGTCATAGTGAGAAAGAGTTAATAGCAGAGGAAGAGGAGCTCTATCTGGATAGTGCATCCCCTGTACCAGGAGAGAAGCTGGAGTTCTCAGAGGGTGCAGACAGGTGCTCTAATGTACTGGTGGGAGCTTATAATGTTCTTTTCCATTTATTTCAGTTTCTTGGGTGAAGAAGGAAACAAAGTTGTTAGCTTTGTAGATGAGTGAAAAGCAATTCAAGGCTTAAGGAGAAAGGGTATAAAATAGTTGTTTAGAAATCAACTACATTATGCAAAAGGGTCAGAGAACCACCAACATTATCAGGCAGAATTTTATTTTATTTTTTGAAGTACTGGGGATGAACTTAGGGCCTTGCAAATCCAGACTAACACTTTGCCATTGAGCCTCAGCCTTAGGCAGGGAATTTAAGAGTCTGATATCAAAGATTTTTCCAATATTGTATATAAGCAGTAAATTCCAAGATCAATTTAGGCCTACCTATAATTCCTATGCTTTCTACATTTGTGGCCATGTAACTGACACTGACATTCATGGCCCATAGGTACTATCACATTAAAAAATTACAGGGAAGATCAGGTAATATTTAATACTGAGGCAGGAGAATATGTATCATTGTATTTTAAAAGTCTTATGTAAGATAATGGCAACTTTAGGATATGAAGAGAGTCATATAATTATACACACATCCTACCTCTCTCAGGAATTTCTGTTTATATTGTGCTTACACAGAGCACCAAGAGACCAGTCACCTAGCCAGAGTGATGTGGCACTCCTAATGAGCAAAAGTATTTATGCCTTTCTCCTCACAGCACTGTTGAGTGGATTTCTGCGTTAATATTACCTAAGACCAAGACACAGGCAAATATAAAAGCTTCTTTGGTACCTTTGCATCTGAGTCTGAAGTTCTCGCTTGTTCACTGAGGTCTCCCAGGTTTTCACTTACAACAGTCTCCTCAGTAGCTTCTAAGGAGATGGCTGCACCTTTAGGATCATGTTGTGGCTCCTTTGCTGAAGAGAAACAACATTCAACCACACAAACTTTAAACCAAACAGCCAAAGACTGTTCCATAAAATCCAGAAGTCAGAAGCACTCAAATTCTAACATGACAAGTACCAAGTTAGAACTTCAGCAAATTATGTAATTCCCTATTCATTACCAGAATAACTGTACTCTATGGTATGAAAAGAACTGACAATGTAATATTTAAGAACCTTTCTTATGTCCCAGCTATTTAAAAATATTTTTGCTGGTGTATGCCTTTAATTTTAGTACTTGGAGGCAGAACCAGGCAGAGTTCCAGGCCAGTCAGGACTACATAGTAAGACTCTGTCACACAAAAACAAACAAACTCTGACTGACATTTAGTTATTTATTTTTGTTTTTGAGATAGGCTTTCTCTATGTAAACCTGGCTGTCCTGGAACTCAAGCTGGCCTTAAACTCACAGAGATCTAACACAGACCAAGCTGGCCTTAAACTCACAGAGATCCACCTGCCTCTGCCTCCTGAGTGCTGATATTAACAATGCGGACCACCACGCCTAGCACATATTTATGTTTTACTTTGTGTGCATGCACTCATGGTTCATCTGTGGAAATCAGAGGATAACTTGCAAGACCAGGTTTGGCAGCAAGCACCTTTACCTACTAAGCCATCTTACTGGCCCTAAAAACACTTTTAAAACTCAAAAGTCAAATAGGAGTTAACATCTACATTGTTGTGACTTAGGCATCTAAAATTATGATTAGCTGTTAGTTATAATTTTTTTTTTTTTGAGACAGGGTTTCTCTGTGTAGCTTTGCGCCTTTCCTGGAACTCACTCTGTAGCCAGACTGGCCTCGAACTCACAGAGATCCCCCTGCCTCTGCCTCCCGAGTGCTGGGAATAAAGGCGTGTGCCACCACCGCCCAGCAGTTATAATTTTTAATAACCAATTTAGGATATAATAAAGTTAAAACATGTATTTCAATTTCAAAATAAGTCTGGAAGACTCTAGAGGTCAACTACCTATCTTTTATAGAGAATGCATAGCATTAAAATGGAAAAACTAGCTCAAAATATGATTTGCCAACTCATTAGTTAAAAATGGGAGACAACTGACAAACTCTGTGACATTTGTTTGCAGATGTTAAGAAAAGGTTTCCATTCTAATGAATTCACTGAGTAGACGTGACTAGAGACATGCAGATATTATAATACCAAATATTCTTCAAGTATCAAATTTTACCTGCTGACAAGGAAGGACAGATCTCCGGTTTCAGCAATCCAGGGTCCAGCAAGGCAACTTCTTTACTATAAAGCAAACAAAACTCAAACACTGTACCAGATTCCAGCAGAACTACTCAATCATGAAAGCACTGTGTAACATTTGCTTCTGTGGTTGGTTAAGCCAACAGGTTCTCCAGGACTGAGGAGTGACTGCCCTGGGGTTCAGAGACCAGCACATCTGTCCTGGGTTCTCACTGGGCGATTTATTCACAAGTGTGCTGCCACTGCTAGAGAGTGCTACCATCACATCTGTGAAGGACAAGACAGACCAGGCATTTCGAAACTTTAAAGGATTGCACCAATGCAAGAGAATGTTTAGCTTCTACTCTCAAACATATGTATGTATATCTTGTTCCTAGTGTAAAAACAAGACAGCTGGCCATTTAATCTTGGCACTGGGGAGGTAGAGGCAGGCAGATCTCTTGAGTTTGAGGGCTACCTGGTCTACCTACAGAGTGAGTTCCAGGACAGCCAGGGCTACACAGAGAAATCCTGTCTCAAAAAACCAAAACCCAAACCAAAAACCAAAAACCAACTAACCAAACAAACAAAAAACAAGACTGCTTGAGTGGATTTTGAGGTTATTTCTTTCTTTGCCTGTTTGTTACTGTGCCTAGGTAAAGCTTGTAATCTAAGGCTAAGGTTCTGGAGATCAGAGTTAGACCACTCTGGGTTCCTGTTTTATCTGAGATTGACTGATTTTGTGGCAAAAGCCTAAATTTCTTTTTATCTAATCACATCAATAAGTAAGAGTAGCACTTGTCTGTAAGGTTACTGTGAGGCTTCAATGACATATTCTTACATTCAACAGGCTTAACAAATCAAAACCGAGTATGGGAGGCACTCAAACACATATGGACAAATACTATTCCATTTTAAAATTCAGACAAACTTAATACATGAGAACACACACACACACACACACACACACACACACACACACACACACACACACACACAGGATAAACACCATTTTCCCTCCAATACCACAGTTGTCAAAAAAGGAATATATAGACCCACCAACTGCCTTAAAGTGATGGCAAACAACCTAGGCCCTGTCTTCAGGTGGCTGAAAGCCAGTGAGGCCCTCTCAACAGTCAATGGCAGATTGGTTTCTAGTTCAGAATATATTAAGAAAGTTCAGGAGTATTAATTGGGCTCTTATCACAATAATCCATAAGAAGACAGTTGAGCTACTAAGAGTGAGAATGGAGATGGAAAAGCCATGAGAGCGAGGGCAATCATGTGGTTCAATAAAGAACTACATGATGTTTCCAGTTTCTACTTATCCATCTGTGAACAGTACAGCAAGTACACAGCTTTAATTTCAAAGTATTAGGCTGTACTTATACTATTAGTATAATTTATAAGAGGGAGAAACTTTTCACCACAAATTAACTTGAAAAATAAAATTGTACCTGACATTCTTAAAAGCAGTTTGAGTTCAAGATACACAGAGGTTAAATTCACCTAAATTTAAAAAAATAATAAAGTTGGGGCTGGGAATATAGCTCGATGGTAGAGTGCTTCTCTAAGCACGTGAGGGTCCTAAGTTTAGTTTCCAGCACAGTAATAGTAGTGATGCTAATGAGAGAAAAACATTACCATCTTACATGTGTGAGTGAAAATTTTAGTTCTGCTCTGGTAGAGGAGGAAAGAAAACCTGAAGGGCATAAGGGGGGAGAAGAAACAGGGTCAACTCCGAACAATTACAGAAATTCATCCTCTACCATCGTGCTATTTGACTTGATTAATTCCCATCCAGACCTTTTTTTTCAGTCCTACGTGGTCCTGGAACCTGCTATGTAGACCAGACTGGCCTAGAACTCAAGAGATCCATCTGCCTCTGTCCCCCTAGTGCTGAGATTATAGGTGTGTACCACCACTGCCTGGCTAAGAATTAAAATAAAACACAAAACATGAGACTGTATCACTTGTAGTAAGAAAAACACTACAAACCTATGGTTTCACATATTTATATGTACTGGACTATAATATAAAACATTACTGTAGGTAACTGGCAAAAATATTTGAAGATGACTGTTTTAGGATAATTATAAACAAAAAGTTTAAAATTGGCCGGGCGGTGGTGGCGCACGCCTTTAATCCCAGCACTGGGGAGGCAGAGCCAGGCGGATCTCTGTGAGTTCGAGGCCAGCCTGGTCTACAGCGCGAGATCCAGGAAAGGCGCAAAGCTACACAGAGAAACCCTGTCTCGGAAAAAAAATAAATAAATAAATTAAAAAAAAAAGTTTAAAATTGTCCAATGAAAACAAAAAAAGGGGAAATGTGGTGGTATTGTGTTCCCCAAAATATTGTGCACCTTAATAAACTTATCTGGGGTCAGAGAACGGAACAGCCACTAGATACAGAGGCTAGAATATGGTGGCACTCACACCTTTAATCCAAGCCTTCTGGAGGCATGGATCTCTGTGAGTTCAAGGCCAGGCATAGTGACTCACGCCTTTAATCCTAAGAAGTGAGGGCAGAAAGCAGAAAGGTATTTAAGGCGTGAAGACCAGAAACTAGAAGCTTTTGGCCGGTTAAGCTTTTAGGCTTCTGAGCAGCAGTTCAGCTGAGATTCATTCTGGATGAGGACTCAGAGGCTTCCAGTCTGAGGAAACAGGATCAGCTGAGGAATTGGCAAGGTGAGGTGGCTGTGGCTTGTTCTGCTTCTCTGATCTTCCAGCATTCACCCCAATAACTGGCCTCAGGTTTGTTTTTATTAATAAGAACTTTTAAGATTCCTGCTACAGATGTAGCTGGGCATGATGGCACACACCTTTAAAACCAACACTAAGGTGGCAGAGGCAGGAGGCATAAGTTTGAGGCCAGACTGGTCCTTAGGTGTTTTGTTTTTGTTTCACTATGAATCCCTGGCAAGCCTGGAACTTATTATGGTAATGATCATTCATTCATGTGTTTATACTCTATTTCTGCCACAGATAAACTGTAACAACTGTCCCACAGAGAATGGTGAGCATAAGCAGAGAAGTGCCCCGTGTTCAAGTCACTGGGCTAGAGCATCCCTAGCTTGGTGCCACACTATGCAGTGCTAGGCCTTCCGACACAGTATACCACCACTAAAGTATAACACTGTTTCCTGTAGCAAAGACAGTAAATAATGGTTTGTGTGGCCTGAAAAACAGTTAAAAAAATCACAATATCTTGTGCTACTATCTTAAAGAAAGAAAAATGATTAAAAGCAAAATAAACATTTATAGTAATTCATAGACTAATAGAAGAAAGCCACAGAAGGACCCCACATTCCCCTCTCTTGGAATGCTATTTTGAGAGGGGATAGACTTCAGTGCAGATTACTGAAGTCTAAAGTTCAGATTTCAGCTCTGACACTTAGAAGCCACGCTCATTGGAAAATTGGTAAATTAGTGGCTTTAGTTCAATTATAAACATAAGGAGAATTTCTTTCCTTTTTTTTTTCTTTTTTTGAGACAGGGTCTCTGTAGTGGTATTTGCTCTGCCCATGACCTTGGGCTATATGGCCCAAAGGAAGCGGTGCTTTCTGCCCTTGTATCTCTTATAAGGAGTTGGAGAAGGGTCACATGCCCCTTCTCACTGCTCCTGCCTGCGAGGTAGATTCATTCCCAGTCAGATCAAAGGACAACTTCAGCTGTCTACTCCATTCTGTAATCGTGAGTGTATTTCCTTAATTTATATCTTAATAAATTCTGTTACCCATTTAGTAGACTCACATGGATTGATTGTAATAGGTCTCACTACGTGGCTCTGGCTGTTCTGGAACTCACTATGTAGACTGGGCTGGCCTTGAACTCATAGAGATATACCTTGTTTTTTTAAATGTAGGAGCTGAGGATCCAAACTCAGGTCCTCATGAATATATAACAAGCACTTCAACAACTGAGCCACCTTCCTAGTCCCATCACTCTACTTCCTGGATGCCAAAAGTTAAGCTATGTCCTCTCCCACATGCTCCTATCACCCTAAAAGCCTGCCTCTTCAAGCTCAAAGCTATAGACTGAAACCTCTGAAAACTTTTTTCTTTTAAATTGTTTCTCTCAGGCATTTGTCACAACAGTGAAAAGGCCAATACAAGCCCTCGCTGCCAACTCAGTGTTACCCTAAAATACTTCCCATTCATTCTTTGATTCAGGCCTCATAATCCTGATGGAAATTCTTTCTCTTTTCACAGATAAGGTTAAATTTGTCTACAAGGTTACACAGCTCCTTGGCAATGATAAGTTAGGAAACCTAGGCAAGGCTATAAAGGTTAAGCTCTTTAATACTAGTTTTAGAATTAAGATACGTTTGGGCTCAAGTCCAGTCTCCTTTACTAGCAGTGTGACCTTGGGCAAATGACAATTTGTCATCATTTTCCTCATCTCTAAAATGGGCATATTAGCAACCCATCTCATCACATAGTAAAGTAGAAAACATTCAATTTGCTGATAAGTTACAAGTTCTCAAAGTACTAAGAATATTGGAAGAGCACAATATCCCAAAGGCAATTATAAATACTAGAAACTTAAGCCATGTGTCACAGAATCTTTGTGGGAAGTGTTGTCATGTTTACTTTTTCTTCTATTCATGAAACACTCTAGTATTTAATTAAAGCATACAAATACAAACCAGAGCTTAAAGAATTATTAAAATATAGTAAAATGTGATATTACATACATTTTGTACCAACCAGAACAGGCCATGTTCCTGAGTACCAAGGTTATTACTAGCCATAGTAAAGTTGCTTCAGATAAACTAGTCCTATCAGGGCAATGACAATTTAAAACAATTATCTTAAAAGTCAAGTGTAAAACACATTTATATTATTTTCTTCTGAAAATTAGTTTAACTTTTGATTCTACCTCCAAGTCTTATTTCAAATAAATTTCGAGGCTTCTCTGTTCCCTGAAAAATGATTTAAAAAAAAAAATCTAACAAGGAATCCACAGAAAATGGGCTAATTCATTAGTAAACTGGCTCAAATGAGCTTAGCTACATACTTAATGAAGAACATGAAAATAAACTCAATTGATGGTCACTTTATAAATTATTTTTGATTTTAAAAACTAATTTGCTTTGTATGTTTCAAGAGACATAGATCCTTTACTTTAGCATAATGAAAGTTTTAGCTATTACCAGTGATACACTACATTTAATAAATTTTAAAAAAGGAGCTTCGACACAAGAGAGTGCTTTGAACTGCCAACAATCATCTGAACCAAAGGCATTCTTGAACATGCATACCTCAAATCACCTGATTCTTTTGTCCCTGGAAGTTGAATAGGCTTAAAGTCTGCTGGTGGGTGCTCCTCGGGTACACTGGGCTCCTGGCTTATCTTGGAGTCTTCTGAAGCAAATGAGAGCTCCCCTTCACTGGAGATTCCAAAGAGCTCCGGGTCATCTTGAATTACATCAATCAAGAGGACATCATCTTCATATGCTTTAAGGATATCTGGAAACCCCAATTTGAATTCTGAAATGCTTTTAGTCATTTCTCTACCTCGAACTTCAGAAGAAACTGGCACAAATGCTTCTTGTTCCTTAGAGCAGAATGAACTTTGCTCAATATACCCAAGATCACAAGAAAAAGTATTATTTTCAATTTCAAGAGAAATAGACTCCTTATTAGAAAAATTACTGTCTGGTTCAGAAATGTGATTATATGCTTTATTATCATAACATTTCTTTGCAAAGCTTGGAGAAGTGCAGGAATTCTTATTGTAGAATGAGTGAGAACTAGCTTGCCCTGGAATTACACTATTATGTATATTCAAAGACTGAGGTCCTGAAGTTGCTGTGCAGATATTTTCCTTATTCCTGTTTTGTTTTGCTTCTATTCCAGATAAACTGTCTAGTAGCTCTAGGGGACTGTAAGCTTCTCTCTCACATGACCTGGCATTTACTTCTTTTCTTTTTCCTGTCTTGTTCTTCAGTAAAGGGATTTTAAAATGAGTCAGCCGTCCTGTGTTTAATATTTTAACCAAGTCTGGAGCCACAAGTGTTTGCTTACTAATGCAAGCTTTCCGATGGACAGTTTTGTTTGCAAAGTCATTTGCTTCCTGGCTCTCTTGGGATGCCACTGTCAAATTAAGTTTTGATAAATTCCCTCTCTTTTTCTTATTTCCTGTTAAGCTTTGAGTTACATTAATTAATTGGGTGTCTTCAGTAGTATTAGAAACTATCTCTGTCCCATTTCTGCTGGGTTCCTCTAGCTTTATCTTTTTATTGCTGGGTATAGCTTCCTTTACAACCATCAAAGTAGGTTCTGCTGAAGAAACTGAAGACAAACAATTTAAATCAGGGTTGTACACTTCTTTACTTGAGGACCCACTGGATCCCTCTGTTAAGGACTGTTGTAACAGTTTGGAGTCAGTTAAGTGAGTTTCGTTCACTTGGTGTATTATAGACTCATGTTGCCTAACATTTCCCACAGACCCTGGAAGTGAGTAATTTAAATCTGACAGGGACGTCTTTTTCCAACACTGCGCTGATATTCTGGCACAAGAATAAAAAGGCCAAGTTCTTTTACCAGTCATTGGTATTATTCTGCGACAGCTTACCTTTGACTCTTCAGTTTCATTTCTCAACTGTTCCCATGGAGATCTTTTTCCCATATGGTGACCATCACTAGGTGATTTCACTGCAGAGCTTATCATAGATTTAAAATATTCTTCTGGCTCCATACTTCTGCATCCTAAGGACTCTGAAGCATTTTTTATATCTTCTTTCAAATGTGATTCAAGGGTTTTCTGAAACACAGCATTTACCTGATGTCTGGGACTTGTTTTCCCTACTGTTTCTGGGAGACATAAATGGTCCACTGGAGAGAGTGTGTTATGGTTTGTTTTTCTTAAAGCTTTTAGAAAACTCTTTTTAGGCTCTAAGGTCTCTGTTTCTTTCCCTTCCACACCCATTTGGTTTTCTTGTAACACCAACTCAGAATTGTCACACACATTAGAGAAATTAAGATCAATATTTTTTTCTTCTTTTTCAGACAATTTCATCTTTTTCCTGTGTTTTCTCCCAACACTGCTCTCCTCTACTGAATATTTGGTTTTTTCACTTTGAAGGCAAGAAATCAAGCCATTGTTTTTACTTTGGTATAAATGACTTTCTTCAAGCAGTAACTTACTGGCTATTACATTTTCTTCAGTTTTTAAGAGTTTAGCAGTAGTTTTTGTGTCATTCTTCTCCGTAAGATTCCTAAGGTTTTCTTTCTTTAACTTGGAAGAGTTCTCTGCTATGTGCATACATACACCATGAGGTTTATGTTCAAAGTTGTTTTCATTATTAAAACCCTCAGAATGGAGGAAACTGTAATCATGAGATTCAAAACTGCAATTTTTTTCCACTCCAGGTGATAAGCTGTTACAAGAATATTTTGGAGTATTCTTGTACAGTTCATCTTGGAAGTCAACCTTAACATTTTGTGTTGCCTCATTCTTAGTTATTTTGAGAGGTGGATTTTCTAAACTTTTACATTTTTTAATTCGAATTCTTCTTTTAATACCTTCTACCAAATCTTCCTTAGCCAAAGACTGTAAGAAAGCCATATTCTGAAATTCACTGCACTCCACTGTTGGTAAAGATTCCGAACTGGTTAATGATGCCTTTCTTACCAGGTCAGTCCCTGGTGGTGGATCATCACTTGAGGCTTCAGTAACTTTTCTTTTTTCTTTGGCTGATCAAAACAAGAAAACATACCAGAAGACATTTTTACACTGGGCAGAAAAAAGCAACACCAGTTAACAGAAAATCTGTGAAACCATTCATTTGTATTTCCCTGAAGAGCTGTTTAGAAATACAAACTGATTTTCATATTAAATATTAAAAAATTTCAAACCGGTTTCATTGTATAGCCCAGGCTGACCCCAAATTTGAGATTCTCTTGCCCAGCCTCCTCTTTTCGGGATTATGAGTGTCCATCACCATGGCCAGCTTTAAGACCTAATTAAGAACTACAAATAAACTTCTATAAACTCTGAAGCAGCAGAAAAACCTTTATAACATAATTTTACCCTAGTTAAGATAAACCACTAGCATTCATTCCTTCTACAGCAATTATAATGACGGCTCCTAAATGACCATATACTTTTATAAGAAAATCCTTTGCACCTCACCTCTCTCATCCATCACGTGCATTGGTAGATGCCAACAAAATCAACTAAAGGTTAGCAGTAAAACAAAGACGAGGCAGCTGAGGTGCAAAGGCTTGGGAGTGGCCACCAGTTTTCTAACCGTGTCTTGGGGTGAAAAGGGAGCTCCACCTCCTTCATTGCGCCTATGCAATGAAGGTCCACCTGTTCCCCAGCCCCTCTGCTCGCTGCCTTCCAGCGGTCTCACCGAACTTGTCACCTTCTGTCTCTTCTCTCCCAGAAGCCTGGGCCACCACTCTCCTCTTCTGCCTGCTCTCCTCCTCGAGCCCCTTGGCCTCAAGCCTGCAGCCTCCCACCTCGCCTGGCTCTGGCGTCAGGGGAAGGCTTCGCTTCCTCAGGCCTCGGGCATCGCCTTCGCGCCCTGGGGCCGTGGTGGGGCCTGGGGGCGGCGTTGGTGGCCGCATTTGCCCGCCGCCGCCCACCCAGCCGCTCTCGGAAGCCTAGAAGCCCCCAGGCCTGAGACCGCCGCTCTACTGCAGGACACAGACTACTGCCCGCCCTGGGCCTGGTCTGGCTGCGCGCCGCCTACCCGACTCAGCAGGAAGCGGAAGTGAAGCCGCTGGGCTCGGCTGGGTGCAACCGGCTGGGGGCCTCGCGGTCCGCCTGACCACATGCTCCCTCGAAGGACCTTCGCTGCACCTGGAGGTGACAGGGCCTCATTTCACGGGTTTGTTGTTGTGCCCCTTTCGGCCTCCCTCTCCTTCCTCCAGACCTGAACTTCTGGAGGTGCCTGGGCGCCTTCTCCCAGCAACCACTCCTCACCCTGACTAACTGTTGTCTGCCAGTGGCTTCTAACTCTTAGTCTCCTGGGAGCCCACCGTCGCTTTCTTCCCAATACCTTCACTTTCACACAGCTAGCCCAGGGACACACCAGCTGCAGACATGCAAAATACCATTTATTTCTCTAAAAGATCGCTTCTCTTCGGTTAGTGGATAGAAACTTCTAAATGTTCTTCTGGATTCCTTGCACATAAATTTACCAAGTCTACTTGATTCCACTTTCTGTGTTTGTTACTTCTCTTCCTCTCCCATTGTCGTTAATGTGGCTCTGGCCCTCAGACTTTGACCTACAGCATCACACATCTACATTTTATTGTTGTCTCTATCCTTGTACCAGTTCAAACTTGACCAGCTTGCCGGGCCATGCCTCTCCACTGAAAGGATCCTAGCATCCCCTACCTTGACCCTTCATGAACTTCCTTTGCTTAAAGATTAGAGTGGAGTTTAAACTCCTTTTGTGTTACTTTGGATCCTGTCTAATGTGGCCTGTTTGTGAATATTTAATTATTAATTGTCTTACAACCCTTGTAAGACGAGAGTACCCTTTAATGGAAAAGAATGCAAAACAGGCACACTTCCAGTTGTTGCTGATTCATTGAGCTTTGTTGTTTTGCTCAACCAGGCTGGCCTGGAACTTACTATGTAGCTCAGACTGGCTTTGAACTTAGGTGATTGTCCTGCCTGCCTCCCAAGTGCTGGAACTGTAGGCCTGAGCCACCACAGAGAATTAATGGGAGCCTTCTTTCTTTTTCATTTCCTTTTTCTTTTCTTCTTTCTTTTTTTTTTTTTTTTTTTGAAACAGGGTTTCCCTGTGTAGTCTTGGCTGCCCTGGAACTCTATCTGTAGACCAGGCTGGCCTCAAACTCACAGAGATCCGCCTGCTTATGCCTCCTGAGTGCTGGCTTAAAGATGTGTGCCACCGCTGCCTGGCTTGTTTTCCTTTTTAAACAGCTATGTAAGTGATACATGACAGAAAATCAAAATAATAGTCTATACACATGTAAATTCTTTCTAAAAGTTTAATTGATTTCCCATTCTATTGCAAAGAAAGTAATTTCCACTTATAATTAAATTGTTTCCTTAACTACTTCAATAATCCTGATCCATAAATGTGTTTGTTCTTCATTCTTAAGCTGTGAACTAGTAGTTATAAAATATACTTGATGAGAGAAATAGACTCCTTAACACATTTTCACATCTGTATGTGAGACAGGCCTTTTAAAATAAATTAACACCACACATGGCTTTTACTTATGCCACATTGAACTACAACTGGAATTCCCCAGATCACATGTACTCTACTTGTGCCTATCTATGCATGAGTTCTTAAAATTGTTCCTCACTTGTTTGCCTGGAAAACTACAATTCACCCCTTTTTGACATGCAACCTCTCAGGAAAGCTTTCTGTTACCCTTGTCTGTAGCTAGAGTTTTCCTGCCTGGCCCACGGTCAGGGCAAATCTCTCTCATCTGCCAGTCCCACAGCCGCTCAGACCCGACCAAGTAAACACAGAGACTTATATTGCTTACAAACTGTATGGCCATGGCAGGCTTCTTGCTAACTGTTCTTTCAGCTTAAATTAATCCATTTCTATAAATCTATACCTTGCCACGTGGCTTGTGGCTTACCAGCATCTTCACATGCTGTTTGTCATCGTGGCGGCTGGCAGTGTCTCTGACTCAGCCTTCCACTTCCCAGCTTTATTCTCCTCCTTGTCCCGCCTATACTTCCTGCCTGCCTGACCATTGGCCAATCAGTGTTTTATTTACCAACCAATCAGAGCAACACATTTGCTATACAGAACATCCCACAGCACTTGTCTTTACATCTGGAGGGCTCAGAAGTTCCCTTCTTCATAATACTACACCATTTTCTTTTTATTATTTTATGTGTGTGGATGTTTTGTATGCATGTATGTCTCTGTACCATGTGGTGGTTTGAATAAGAATGGCCCCCATAGGTCATATATCTGAATACTTAGTTATCAGAGAATGGCACTACTTGAGAAGGATTAGGAGTTGTGGTGTTGTTGGAGTAGATGTGGCCTTGTTGGAGAAAGTCTGTCACTTGGGTGGGCTTTGAGGTCTCAAAAGCCCATGTCCAAGAGTCTTTCTCTCTTCCTGCTGCCTGAAGATCCGGATGTAGAACTCTCAGCCTACTTCTCCAGCACTGTCTCTGTGCCGCCATGCTCCCTACCATGATGAAAATGGACTAAACCTCTGAAACTGTAAGCAAGCCTCAATTAAAGGCTTTCATTTGTAAGAGTTGCTGTGGTCATAGTGTCTCTTCACAGCAATAGAACACTGACTAAGGCACCTGTGCATTCCTGGTGCCCATGGAGGCCAGAAAAATCTGTGACCTAACATATAGATGGAAACCTTAACAATGGCTCCATACAAGAAACTAGGGTAATCAGGAAACATTCAGCATCCAAACTGCTGGAACTGGAGAAGTCTTTTTGTTTTTTTTGTTTTGTTTTTCGAGACAGGATTTCTCTGTGTAGCCCTGGCTGTCTTGGAACTCACTTTGTAGACCAGGTTGGCCTCGAACTTAGAGAGATACACCTGCCTCTGCCTCCCAAGTGCTGGGATTAAAGGCATTCACCACCATCACCCAGCTCTGGAGAAGTCTTTAAAACAATTAGTGAAAGAGCCTGTCACAGTGTAGCTTGTGAGACTGTGGGACACAGGAGTTAATAGGATCAGTCTGACTGCTGTGGAGTCAGAAAAACTGAGTAATGTTACTGTCCATTCCTCCTTAAGGCAAGGGCTGTATAAACCTGAGACAGTGTAAGGGACATTGGTCCCTGATGGACTGGCTTATCAGAGCCATTAGGAATAGTTTTTAATCTCCATCTGAGGTCCCCATAAATATCCAGGGCTGGAGGCAGGGGATAGGTGCTATTGAGGGAACTAGGAATTTGAATTTGTATTTGAATGCCAATTCACTGGGTCCTATAGAACTATGTTCACAGGGGTGTTAAAGAAAAGAGATTCAACAAGGACCTCATGGCTGGTTTGGAGCTTTGGCAGCTTTGCTGGGCTCTTTTTGTGAGGAAAGCTCTTTATAAAGTAGAAGAGGCTTTGGCAAACCTAAGTGACTTAGACCAGCATGTAAAGAGTGTCTGTAAAGAGAGAGAGCAACCTGGAGAAGAAAAGAAAAAGGCAAAGCAGAGGAAGAAGTCTGTTTGGATTACTTGAAGACAAATGTGGCAAAATTTGTGTCAAGCTGGAGTTCCTATGGAAAAACATGATAGAAAGCCAACTGTGCTAAGGAGGGTCTAGAAGGCTTCAAAGCCTGAGGAGCAGTTCACAGAAGATGTTCAGGATAGAGTAATACAGGCGCAGATGATCAAGCCTGTCCCAGGGGTGGGTAATTATCCCCCCAGACTAAGGAGGGTACATTTCTCTTTAGGAAAAGGTTATGCTAGGGGTGGAGATGGTTTGCCCAGCCAGGAACTCCCCCAACAACCAGGTGTGGTAAATGGGGAGGCAACAGCTACTGTGTCAACCCACGGAGCCAGCAAATGCAGCAGGGGTGAGGAGGACCACTTTCTCCCTTAGCCCTAGGTGGTAGAGTTGATCAGATTAAGCCAAGCCCACTGAATTAATCAGGGGTGAAGTATAGGGAGTCATCATGGAAGAGCTCTGGGATATGGAAATGTAATGGCTCAGAGAGAATGACTGAGGATTACAGAGAGCCAATTAAATTACAGGTTCCTATCCATGCTTTTGTATTCAACCTTGATCTGTGGAGGAAGCAACTGATACAAGTGGATGGGACCTTTCTATGCTGTATTAGGCCTTGCTTATGTTCCACTTTAGTATCTTCTTAGTTGCGAATTTCTAGGATCACTTGACACTTGCTCAGAACAGATGACATGGGTTTTCAGAGTGCTTGATCAAAGTTATCTTTGTAATCTTACTATTTGGTGTGAGATTGTGGTTCAGGGTGTTATGTTGCCCTGCTCATCCTCTGAAAAAGGTTTTGTTATATAGATAACATAATCTCTGAATGTTTTGAAGATTGGAAAGCCATTGGAGAGACCTGTGAGTGCACCCTAAATACGTTCACAGAGAGTAAGCAAGGGTATCTTGCAAGGGGAGAAGCAGATACTACCAAAATCCATATGGTTATTGATTGAAATTCGCAGTACCAGGTGTCAGTTACCTCTCTAGGGGTTATTGATAAAGGAGGCCCTAATGAGAAAGCCACTGCTGCTGTTTATCAAATGGGTGTGATATGCCTGTCAAACACAAACATTTGTGTTTATGTCCATTGATCACCGTTGTCAGCCTCAACTCAAAACCACTGGTGATACTCCTGTTGCTGTGGCACAGGAGTCATATAGTCAGCCCCTCCAGTGCTCAGAGATCATTGTGGAAGAGGGAATAGAAAGAATCTAAGAGCTAGATTAAAACATTTCATCCTGCATTTACTTTAAGAGAGAAAGTAAACAACTCAAAATGACTTCTGGGAGCCCCTGAAGCTGACCCTCTTTCCCAAGAGTAAAAAACAAAAACTTCTAAGACTCACTCTCAGACAAGACAAACTGCAGAGAAGACTCAGATCAGCCAAGCAGCTTGGAAGAAGCAGATACAAGCCAAGCTGCCTGGAAGGGACTCAGGTCAACGGAGCCTCCTGGAGAGGACACTCTCCAACCTGCTGAGCTGCCTGCAGGCTGTGCAGTGTGCTCCAGGTTCCCAGCTTTGTGAGCTGTCACCACGCTGAGGTGGGACTTTGGTGATGCAGCTGTCTGTGAGTCATTTCTGCTCTTGTAAGTAACTCCACTAAAAAACTAATTGGTACATCATGTTGGACTTCGGTGGGATCTAGATTTGGAATCCAGGTTCACTTTGGTCTGTCCTGGGCTCACTATCTGGGGTGAGTAAATGTATGTGTTGTGTCTCCCCAGGAGAAGTCACATAACACACATATAATTAAAAATTATTAAAATGTAACTAAAGATATAAAAATCTTTAAAAATTATATAAACATAAAAAAACTGAAGGGACACTAGCCCACTCAAGCATGTAGCTCTGGTAGGTCTTGCCCTTCTCCCCAATTCCCTCAGCCTTGCTAAAAAACCATTAGATTACATTCCTAAAGCTAGCTCCTAATGTCTGTTCCCTTATTTGGCCATTTCCTCCTCCTAAGGCTGACTACCAAGGTCCAGCTATCAAAGTATCGAAGTCCAGCAATCAAAAGCCTCCTTGGATTCACCTAACTAACACACCCAATCAAAACATACCACCGCATCCTAGCTCATTGTAACACAGAGCTCCCCTTTCTCTCTTCTTAAAAATTACATCTGCAACGTCATTTGCTGCTATTTTTCTGCCTGAGTCAGAGAGCAGCCACTTTAACTTTTCTTCCCCTATTAGTGAAGGATCTCTCTGTGAAAACAGGTGTTTGGGTGGTTTGTGCCTCATCCAGGTCAGGGAGGGACCACCCCCCCAACTTGTGCCAGGGTCTCCTTCAAAAACTGTATTGAAAACAAGAATGGTAGTAAAGATTAACCTCTTTCTAGTTCTTTATGACATTCTCTTGCTACCTGAACTTTTAAAAAATATTTCTTTTCTTTACAAAAGGATTTTGTTGTATTTTTAATTATTGTCTGACCTTCACTTGTGAGCTGTGACATGCACATGCCCATACATGTACACTCACACATATACATACAAGTAGATAAATAGCCATTCTTTAAAAAGTCTTTAGGCCTCTCTAACCCTACAGCTTGCTACCTTTCTCTCTCCCCCGCCTCCTTTCCTCTCTCTCTCTCTCTCTCTCTCTCTCTCTCTCGCTGCAGTGTGAAGATAGGTAGTTATTTCCTCTATAAAGTCTTCCACCGACTGGATTTGATTGACTGAATTATTTTGAGATCATTTGTAATTTAATTCTGTTTTCTGAACTTATAGAGACGAACTTTGTTCAGGTTCTTTTTTTTTTTTTAAGATGTTATAGGTGGCAGTGCATGTTTTGGTTTTGTTTTTTCCCCAGTGGGAGACACATATCCCTTACCTTCTCTCCTGTGACTTAGTGGCTGGTAATACTCAATGCTATGTGCATTAATTCATAGTCTCCATGTTATGTTTTCCTTAAAAAATTAAAATAAAAGTAAACTGAGTATACTGAGACAGCACTGTGGTCATGTGACACCAAACAAACTGCCTACCTCTGTGTTACCTAGTACCCTCCTATCAAAACTTCCAACATTCTCCAAGTTGTTACACATAATAGGAAGATGTGAACAAGCAATACTTAGAATCATAAAAATGAGACTCAGATGTTTTGAAAAATACAAAAATGTTCCACAAGTTGAAGCTGTTAGAATATCATTGCTGTATTGTGAGTTATATAATGTGGCCATCAGGTACAAGCACAGCCTCCTGATGAGCGGGGCAGCAGGTTCTCACCACAGGTGTAAGAGGCAGGAAACAGGTAAGAAGCTGTGGAAATGAGACAAAGAAGGCTTACAAAATTAACTCTTGATACGTGTAACTGGTGCTGACATAAGCATTTCACATCATTATCACAACAGCCTAAGCTGACACCAGCATTTAGTCTCTGTTTCTGCTTTGACCCTTCCTAAACAATGGTCTGTCTAAACCGCAGCAGCTCCAGGTGGAGTGTAGTAAGACTTTGAAGTTTGATCTGATAAGTTCATAATGAGAGAACTATTGTTGGTTGGTTTTTACTCTTTTTAATCTTTGCTCTTTTTGGGGGCCTGCCACCCAGCTCCCAAATAAATCATATGTGGAGGTATTCTTAATTATAAATGCCCAGCCTTAGCTTGGCTAGTTTCTTGCCAGCTTTTCTTAACTTTAATTATTCCATCTACCTTTTGCCTCTGGGCTTTTCTCTTTTCTTTCTTCTGTATATCTTACTTTTACTCTTATTCCGTGGCTGGCTGTGTGGCTGGGTGGTTGGTCTCTAGGATCCTCCTCTCCTTGTTCGCTTGCTTTTTGTTCTTTTCCTCCCAGGTTTCTCCTACTATATATTCTCTCTGCCTGCCAGTCCTGCCTATCCTTTCTCCTGCCTCGCTATTGGTTGTTCAGCTCTTTATTAGATCCTCAGGTGTTTTAGACAGGCAGAGTAACACAGCTTCACAGAGTTAAATAAATGTAACACAATAGAATACAATATATCTTTGCATCATTAAACAAATGTTCCACAGCATAAACAAATATAACACATCTTAAAACAATATTCTACAATATTTCTCCCTTTTTGTCTAAATAAAAAGAAAGATTTTAACTTTACATAGTAAGTAAAACTACACACAACAAAAACAGTTATCAAGTAAGAATTACATTTACAATATTCTGTCCAATTATACTTAGCATATTCAGAGAAAATAATACATTATCTATCCTATCTTAGTGAATCAAAAGTTTTACACCTAATTTACTTTCTATCATAACTAAGGAAAACTGCAACTATAACTATTTAGTCTCCAACTCCATCAAAGACCCAGAAGGAATTAACATTACTTAACAACAGAGGCATCTGGCTGTCTGGACAGTCACCCAAAGTTCCTTTGCAATGTTGGGGCATCCATCTTCAGCCTACAGGCCCAAAATATCGGGCAAACTTTTCTATGAAGCAGGAAATTTGAAGGACTCTCATACCTTGTATTGGCAAAGTTCATCAGTCACTTTCCTCTGTGTCCTATTTAACCTAGAAAACATACCTAATGTGACTACAAGTTTAATTATTAATTAACTATGAACCTTATTTCTTATTTATACATTGAATTTTTTTTTTTTTTTTTGGTTTTTCGAGACAGGGTTTCTCTGTGTAGCTTTGCGCCTTTTCCTGGAACTCACTTGGTAGCCCAGGCTGGCCTCGAACTCACAGAGATCTGCCTGGCTCTGCCTCCCGAGTGCTGGGATTAAAGGCGTGCGCCACCACCGCCCGGCTATACATTGAATTTTTAAATGAACTGCATAAGTACAATACCCCAAACAAGAGTAGAATTATATATGCAGTATAACAAAATTAACTTTAAATTTGTATCAATGTACCAAAATCCATGCCAGTGCAAAATATCTGAGATTAATAGTTGTCTTTTTATCCTATATACTTATATTCCCCTAAATGATAACAAAAATCTATACCCCTCCAAATAACCAGAAGCCTCCCACACCTCTCTTGGGAATGTGGGCATTGTGTTGTCCAAACTGCTTCCTGTTGTCTGTGGGCAAAGTGTCTTTAGGATCCCTGAGAAAATTTGAGATAATGGCCAAGTTCTGGGAAGACCAGTAGTAACCTTTGTTGATATATATCACCTTTCAAGGTTCAGGAGGTCTCCCTTGATCAAACCTGATCCATATTAACCTGGAATGAATCCATAGCCTCTTGTTTCCTGTGGGGAAAATAAGCAAAACCTCTTCTCCAAAGCATTTTTGACTTTCATTTGACAAATACATTTTTTGACTTATTTTTTAAAGTTAAGAAAGCCCTAAAGTATCTAGGTTGGTTTAGTTTTGCAGTCCTGTTCATAATCCCATGTCTCCTAGCATCCGTCTTTTGCTTTTCAGCAATCAAAAAATTCAAAATCAACATAATACTATATAGGATCCAGACTCCTTTGTTTCTCATCTTACATGGCTTTTTTTCTTTTATATTACCTTTACTCTCTCTTTAAAGACTTTACTATTTTTTTAAACTCTTTATTTCTTTCTATGACTGTCTATACCCCTATCCTTTCTTTCTTAAATCTACATACATTGTAAAACATGCTGGAAACTGTTTAGAGTTTTTTTTTTTCCATATGGACCTCTTTTACTGCATATCTCTAGTTTTTTTTTTTTAATTATTTTGACTGCGCAAACAAACTGTTAAGCTTCACCTGGATCCTCCATGCAGCTCTCAGCTGGCTACCCCTGCTTCTCATGTTGGAAAAGCCAAGCCTAAAGCTCACGGCCTGGTTGGTTGGAGGTTTGTGACCTAGAACTGCATTCAACCTTACTAGCTGTAGGAAACTGGTACCTGCATTGCCACAAGCGGTTTTTACTTAGCTTGCCATTTTTATTTAGTGCTGCTGGCTGAACAGCAGCGCCTCTTAAACGAGTATAGTGGTATTGTATTCCCCAAAATATTGTGTACCTTAATAAACTTATCTGGGGTCAGAGAACAGAAAAGCCACTAGGTACTTAAGATAGGCAATGATAGCACATGCCTTTAATCCTAGCATTCCAGAAGCAGAAATCCATCTGTTCAAGGATACAGCCAAGCATGGTGACTCACACCTTTAATCCCAGAAAGCCAGCCTTTAATCCCAGAGAGTGATGGCAAAAACAGAAAGATATATAAGGCGTGGAGACCAGAAACTAGCAGCATTTTGGCTGGTTAAGCACTCAGGCTTCTAGCAGCAGTTCAGCCAAGAGCCATTGGGATGAGGACACAGAAACTTCCAGTCTGAGGAAACAAGACCAGCTGAGGAATTGGCAAGGTGAGATAGCTGTGGCTTGTTCTGTCTCTTAGATCTTCCAGTGGTCACCCCAGTAACTGGCCTCAGGTTTGTTTTTATTAATAAGAACTTTTAAGATTCCTGCTACAAGGAGCCATGTCTTTTTCTTTTCTTCTTCTTTTTTTTCAGTTTTCTCAGGACCTACATGGAAATTTGCCCCATGTTTGGCACCAGAATATAGTTGGTTGTTTTAACTCTTTTTACTCCTTGCTCTTTTGGGGGGGGCCTGCCACCCAGCTCCCAAATAAATCATACATGGAGGCTTATTCTTAATTATAAATACCCAGCCTCAGCTTGGTGTGGGAGTCCAGCTCCCACCCTTGAGGGGTTCTTAGGTGAAGGAGAGAGGAATGAGGAAATATCAGATAGAGAGACCTAGCTCCAGGAGTCCAATTGGTGAGAAAGAGGAGGGTTTGTATGAGTGAGAATTGTTGAGACCAAGGTTGGATAAAGCACAGGGACAAATAGCCAAACAAATGGAAACACATGAACTATGAACCAATAGCTGAGGAGCCCCCAACTGGATCAGGCCCTCTGGATAAGTGAGACAGTTGATTAGCTTGATCTGTTTGGGAGGCATCCAGGCAGTGGGACCGGGTCCTGTACTCAGTGCATGAGTTGGCTGTTTGAAACCTGGGGTTATACAGGGACACTTGGCTCAGCCTGGGAGGAGGGGACTGGACCTGCCTGGACTGAATCTACCAGGTTGAACTCAATTCTCAGGGAAGTCTTTGCCCTGGAGGAGATGAAATAGGGGGTGGGGTGGGGGGAAGATGGGGGTGGTGGTGGGAGGGGGGAGAACAAGGGAATCTGTGGCTGACATGTAAAATTAAATTAAATTATAAAATAAAAAAAGATTAAAAAAAAAGAAAGAGAGACCTAGATGATGAGAAGAAAGAAGCACAGGATAGCTTCAGGAGGGCCTGGATCAATACCCAACAGCCTTGTCCTTTATTGAAAAGGGCTTTTTATAACATGTCAAGGGGAGAGGCAAAAGACCTCCCCCTTGCAAGGACAAAACACACCATACAGTCCAGTGTAGACCCTTCTAAACACCTGCTAAACATGCCCGTGACCAAATCATCTTTTTATGTAGCCCTGCTGGGTAAAGCAAGCTCAGATTCTCTGACCTTGAGTAAGTTCTCACTAGGAAACCTCTGTGGGTCTCCACAGCTCCCCTTTTCAATATTCTAAAGGGCCCCTCAGACCTCATATATGGACTATGCCTGTCTTAGGTCGTCTTCTACTGCTAGAAAGCCTTACCCGTTATTGAGATACACTTTCTGCCAAGTGTACTCTGTCTTAGGTTGACAGCTAGCAAGAAGGACTTACCCATCTCTGACTACCAGCCTCTGGCAGGGGAGGGTGCAGAGCTTAACTCTATGCAGCTCTGAAGCTGCTTTTCCATTAAGAGCTTGCAGATAGCTGGAATAATTATAGCAATACTCCTGCTCCTTATGGCTGCTAGGCCTCCTAGTAAAGGGGTAGAGGATAGTAAAGATAGAATGGCCTTTTTGAATGGGTTTAAGATGTTTACAGCAGTCTTAGCTACATCAAGCCCTTTTTTAAATCAATAAACTCCTGATGCAACTGCATCAAATAAATCAATAAACTCCTGATGCAACCACATCAAATCTAAATACTCCCTTAGCATCACCATTAACATTAACAGGTTAACATCATAATTCTAGCATGAATATTACTTACACAATTACAATTCTTACAAACTTATATCCAAAAGCAAACTCTCATTAGAACTATTTTCACTTTACAAACTTTACCAAACATCCAAAAGCAATCTCTTAATAGAACTATTTACACTTTAAAGCAATCTCTTAATAGAACTATTTGTACTTCTTGCTAACAAAACATAAGGTACATTAACACAAGTTAACGTTAATCCACTCAAGGGACAAGAAAGTATTTTTTTTTAATTAAAGAGACTGAGGAATATTAACTCCCCCTTTTCTTTATAATTTTTAAAACTGCATCTTGAGCCTGGGTAGAAAAAACAAATTTCTCCATTTTACATAAAACATTTTCATTTCTACACCAACAGTTCCATTTTTTTTACACAGTTTGTGAGTCACCACAGTTAATAAAACATATATGCATACACAAAACAATTCCATTATAATTGAACCACTCCTGTCCATCTCATTTCTTAAGTCTGAAAAGTTCAAAAAGACAGTCTTAATGTTCCACTGAGCACTGCCTGGCTTGTCAGCTGCCCTGAAGTCCCTATATAGCAGTTCAAGTTGTAATGACTCTGAAGCAAACAACTCCAAATATGAGGAGTCCTATTACCAAAACTTATTGCAGTTCCCCTGAATGCAGCAATTCAGTTCAAACACCAGGTTCTGAAACTTCTATTTCAGTTGCAGCGGCATTTTATGGCAGTCTTACCCCAGGAACTCTGCCTCAGGACGAAGGTGGCTGTCATAGTAACTGAGCTGCTGCAGATCTCTTTTTGAAAAAGCTCTGCACAGCCAGCAAACTGAAGCTGCATAACTTTTTTACAGTCCCAGTCCTGAGGCCTGAGGGCTCTCAACTGCCTAGCACCGCAGGAGCTCAAGGAAGGAAACCCAGCTGCTACAAGCTGCAGCTTCATCGAGTCCCATTATCTGCTCTGCTGGTAGTCCTGCACTCAACACCCTGGGTCCCAGAAGCCTCTGTGCATTGCCCTGCTTGCACGGTTGAATGCCACCCTAAGGGCAGCTGCATGCATGGCTCTGCTTTTCAGCTTGCTGCTGGGAGCCCAGGCTGGCCAGAGTTCCAGTATGTCTTACCCAGGCATTCTGTCAGCCAGCAGTTTCCCCTGGGTCGGCAGCACTACCTCTGTGTGGTTCCACCCTGGGTGGATGCTGCCCCATCTTCGCAGGGACCCTCGCTCACTGCTGCTTGTGGTAGTCAGGCCTACCTTGGTGTCCCCAAACACACACACACACACACACACACACACACACACACACACACACACAGACTCAAAGGCACCCTGGCCATCCTGTTGTGCACCCTCAGGGCATATTTCTCTGGAGGCAGCTGCCACAGCACCCTGCACTCTGTCTCCAGCTTCTCATGTGGCTTTCCACCCAGGGCATCCCTTACTGGGCTCTGGCTTCAGGGGACGCTGGCTCCGAATGACAGACCTGCTCTGACCACTGGGGTCCGAAGTTTTTGCTGCACTCCAAGCCGCTTCACCTCTCTTGCTTTGCAGTGTCTCTGCTT